AAAATCAAAACTGTGGTTAAAGGTATTATGGTGAATCACTCATGTAGCGAAAAAAACATATTTTAAATCATTTAATTTATATATATATATATATATATATATATATATATATATATATATATATATATATGTATATATATATATATATATATATATATATATATATATATATATATATATATATATATAACTCAACTAATAAAATCCCATCAAATCAAAGTACTAGATTGTTAGCTAAGTCCCATAATTTCACTAATGAAATTTGCTACTTATAAGTTCCATGCTAATTGTTTCTTATTCTGCACTTCTCGTTTGCAGAACTGTCAATTATGATCTTCAAAAATTAAGTCCAATGTCAATTGTCATCTTCTGTCTCCTTGAATCCTGTTTTTATGTTGTCTCCATTTCTGTCTCCTTCACTAACCCCTTGTATCCAAGTAGTTTTATTGTCTTGCTTGGAGTGAAAGTATTAAAAAAAAGAAAAACTTACCTCAGTTGGTTGGAAAATCATTTTTCCATGGATAACTTGTCCTCCTTTTAAAGTTAAAGAATATTTTCCTGGATTTGCATTCTGGAATCGATATTCCTCTGCATGATAAAACCATAAAAATAAAAGCAGAAGGTTTTCTTTAAGTAAAAATTAGAATAATAAAATAAGAAAAAAAAAATCATTTTCCTTAAAATAAGAATATTACCAAGAAAATATCTAAAGAAAGAAAAAGTAAAACAGAATATAAAAATAAGAAAATTGAAATAATATTGAAGGCCTAAAATCATATTTTCAAAATGAGAGTTAATAATAATAAAATTTTCACCAAAAAAAAATAAAAGATTACAGGATTTGTTCTTTATGGTGAGAAAATCAATTCCTAAAATAGTATCTAATTTTTTACTCTGATTAATATTATGTAAGCTGAGGTTGATACATTTTTAATATATTTTGGAAAATAATGTATCAAGTTTTTTGAACCATGATGTCACTATTTTTATGCATAAAATCAAGCACCATTTAGAAGATCTAAACATTAAATTTATTTATTTAAAACAGCCATTAGTCATGATGACAAAAGCTCATTATGAAATTAATGCATTTTCCGTTGAGTTGATCAATAGGCACCATGACAAGAAATAATTATTCTTTTGAAAATTTCTTTACATATTACTATAGGAAAAGCACCACAAATCATGAATATCTTCTTTTGTTTTAATTTTTATAAAAGTTAATAACAGGGGGTCCAGAGTGCAATGCAAATTCTTTCTACTTGATTCCCTACAAAAGCCAAAACAAAATATGCCCATACTGGGTACTTTTATTAATTTTGTTTTTTAAATATAACAATTTGTACTGCTTAATTGATAGTAATATATGAAAAAAACACTTCAGATTGTGATTTTAAAAAAATTAAAATAATTTTTTTTAATTTTAAGAAATCACATGATATGACCATATTCTATTTTGGCTTTGAAACAGCAGATCAATTTACATGGAATTTCTATCACAGACATGACACCCACACCTTGATTAATTTTTATAAAATTTAATAAAAACATTTTTTTCTTATGATTTTCATATCTCATATCGAAGAATTTAATTTCCTCTTTGTTGATCGTTTCCTTTATGATGATAGTGTTGATGACTACATTCACTGCCTGTGATCAAGTTCAGGACTAGAAGCTTCCACTTTCACCAAAATCTGCTCCTGTCATCTATTTCCTGTAGCCATTTGGCTTTGCAAGAGTTAATGGGAGGCGAACAAAAGTCAGAGTAGAAGAAAGTGCCAATGACGTGAATTTGTTGAAGGTGGAACACAACTCGCCAGCAAGTGACACATGCACTTCATGACATTTCTCTCTAGCAAATATCGAATGAGACATGCAGAATCTATTTATAAAACTGCAACAAATTGTGGCTGATTCTTTTATAATTTTCAAGTGGCACCTTCTGTCACTTTTTCTTCATGTATAGCCCTCTTAATCAGCTGGTTCAATCATTCTAACCTTCATCCACTTATTCCACCATTCGAGTTTTTTTGGGTTTGGTTGCACTTAGTCTGAATTCTCTGATGGTCCCTTCTTGTTGTGGTGGAGGAGTTTGTGTTGTTCAGTGATTCTTGATGTTGTTGGGAGTTCTAAATTCCTGGTAGGACCACCCTTGGCAGCAATGTTGAAGATTTAATTTATAGTAATATGAAAAATAATTTTGAAAAAAATTATTTCTGTTTGTAATGTCTAGTTTTCAACACCACTGTTTTTTTTTCTTTCTTGAAAGAATATGAGATTAGGAAATGAAAAGAAATTTTAATAGCACTAAATGATATTTTGTTTACTTTTAAAGGTTCGGCTATAAAAATACAGATTTTAAAGAAAGCAAAAAAGAATGAGTCTTTGTTGGCTGTTATATTCTAAATTATAAACATAAACATTGAGTAAGCTTAAGTTTTTTCATCAAAAGGACAAACAAACAACAGCAAGATTATTTTGCATTTCCAAATGATATTATCCATACCTTAAAAATCAGCATTTGTTATTCTATATTTTATTTGGCTTCAATATCGATCAGTGATGCTGGAATAAAATACTTCCACAGCCATCAATCATATTCCACATGGAAATTTACTAAGTGTCACATAACATCTCCAATTAACTAAATTAGTGATTGAGAATATTGTGCTGCACCATTCCCTCAATTACAGAGTTCATGCCTACCTTGAAAATCAAGATTTGAAAATTTGGGTTTTATCCATTCTTAAAAACTGAGCACTGGTATCTTAGATACAGAGAATGGTTTCAGCCGCCAATCATACCTGAGATGGATATTTCTAAGATGAGTTCAAACATTTAGATGCCTTGTCCTTTCAAGACACAGGTGATCATTGTTCTCCATTATTAGAATTTTTGGGTACTATGTACTAGTGAGCTAGCTAAAATGAGATGACTCATTTTATAGTCCACCAAGAGAAGGGTTAACCAATCAGAAAGCTCAAAATATTCAATGCAACATGTATAAAAAGCAGCCATTTTGTTTTTTTCCCAAAAATATCTTCACTGCCAACCTGATATCGAAGACTTAAATAATTACTTAACAGCCGCTACTTTCTCTGAATCTTCAATGCCAACCTCTGATATTGAACACATTACGGACTTCACTGGATTCCATATTCAGAGACTATGGCAAACATGGTCAACATCCATAGCATACTTTTTTACTATCTTTGATTATGGTTTTGGAATTGAGACTTTTCTTTCTCTTAGACTGGTTTCCATTCATGGCTGGAAAGCCCACTTTACTCCACTATTTAACACACAACCATAAGGTGAAGAGATGGATTCATACATTTCCCAAGAGTGTTTTCACAAAAGTGAATGGAACAGCACTGGAAAGAATTTGAACTTGGCTTGCCAATCCAACTTTCCATGCTAATAACCACTATGCCATATGCCCATCTTTAGTTTTGTCTACTACAATATCAGATGTTCAAAAGACTATACTGCATCAATTTTATCAGTACTCTTGTATATCAAATGAAAGTGCTGGCACAATTAAATTATTTTCTTCAATTGCACTCTGTCAAGTTTGCCATGTCTTTCATATATTTGGATTCAGAAACAAACTTCACTGCAAGGAAAATTGAACATTTTTTTGCTATTGCATATTTCTGATAAGAATGAATAAAAGTTATTTAAATTTTTCTGCTTCTACTTTTCCTTCAGAGAATAAACTTTTACATGTTTCATTTAAAAGATGCATTGTTGTAAAATGTTTGGAATCCCAACACTCAGATAACATATACCTGGGTCAATTGGATTGCGACAATGGCTTTAATAAAGTCATACTTAACTGAAATCAGTTTGATTTAATCATGGTTTATAATGATTATTTGCCTAACACAAATCTACAAGTGTCACTTTATTTATAGAGAAGAAAAAGGAAATGTTATTGATAAGGATTATAAACCTTCAGTTTGATGATTGTCAAAGGAAAAAGTGAAGTCACTGTGACTGCTCAAGTCAAAGTCAACTCTGCTTAATGACGAAGCCTGAAATATTCACAAAAATGAAAATTTAATTTAATTCACTGTATAAAAATTCTTTCAATGAAAATATTAGGTCATTTCAAATATTGTATTTGAAACCAGTTAAAAATAAAATGAATGATGCTTATATCATTTTAAAATAATTGTAATGATACACACTAGTATTTTTTTCATACAGATTTAAATCTGTAAATTACTGTCAGAATTTCTATAATGAGGAGATTTTATTATTTACATTATTTTAAGAAGTGTGTAAAAATATTCATATTACACATTTTTGTATACAATTATTTTTTACAAATATTTCAGTTATTTTATGATGCCAGTGAAATAATAGTAATGGTATTGTGTCAAAAAATATATTATATTTTTTATTGACTATTTTAACACAAGAATACTTTTTACAAATATTTTAATTATTTGCTAACAGCAATGAAATAACAATAACATTTTTTGTAAAAAATATTTGTATGAAAAATTTTTATATAGAAATAATTTTTCGAAAAGTAAGCAAGTTATGGTTTTATCTGTGAAATGGTGATAACTTTGAAAAGGTAATTTGTAGTTACATATTTTTAATGGAAATTTTTTATTTATAATGTAAACTTACTCCATTGTTGCAGTGTGGCATATTTAAAAACAACAATAAAAAGTATTGAGATTTGCTGAGCCATGTGTTTAGATCAGTGATTCTCAATGGTCATACCACAATACATTAGTGTGCCATGTGTTGCTCTTAAATGTGCCATGAAATATTGTCACAGTATACATGTGTGTGTGGAAGTAGTAATGGTACAGTATTAGCATTTGAATAAATGGATAAGTATTAAACTTTATTTTCAAATTATTCTTTCCAGTATGATCCTTCTAATATTGGACTCCAGTTATGTGAAGAAGAAGAACTGGCCACCATTTAGTGATGGAGGGCTCAAAATAAGACATTTAACACTACCTAGTGATACATTTTTGATGTCAATAAAAAGGGAATATACCACATTAGCAAAAAAGGATTTATCAGTTCTACTTAATTTTCTTATTTATGAGAATGGGGCTTTTTAATCCTAAATAACATCAAAAATAAGAAGTGAGGAAGAAATGGCAGCCTGTTTATTGCACATTTGACCAAACATTGATGAAATCATGAAAAAAAAAAACAGGCACAGGTTTCACACTAAATAAGCTGCACAAATAGTTAAATAAAAACATTGAAATAAAGTAAGTTGATATTTGTATGTGTATTTTTTTTAATCTGTGGTTTAATTTCATAATATTTAAATGTATACCCTTTAAAAATTTTGCTAAGTGTCCAGTGGTATTTTCATTTGCTCTTAGGTATGGCATTGCTTAAAAAAGGTTGAGAAACATTGGTTTATATATATAGGACCACAGAAATTTTAAAATTTATTGTCCATACATCTTCAGTGTTTACCCTCAGTGCATAATTATACCCAACATTTATATTTCTCCCCTCCCCATACATATATATAGTCCTATCAATAAGAACATAAATTTAGTCTTATGAAGCCATTTTAGAAGATAAAATGCATTATATAGATTTTTTTCCTTTCTTGCCATTCAATTACCCAACATTATTCTGATATACAAAAATGTATAGCTCATATTCTCCCTTATATTTTATGAGAATCATTTTGATGTTGCAATTATTAATCCTTCATTTCTATTTTTTCCTCTTCCATCAGCAACATTTCAACACTTAATTAATAAAAACGTTCTTTTTAAGTTTTAAGCATATATATATATATTCAAAAATTATTTACTAATAATTCCTTATCAGCAGAAATTAGTTATCCAAAAAGATAATTTTAAATGCACTTATATTTTGGCTCATTACAATATACCTTTTTATGTATTTTTAATTAATTAAAGAAGAGTAGATGTCTTTATATGATGCTTAAAGACTGCCTTTGGTAACTACTTAAAAGTGAAAATATGTGAAGTCTACGTAAACAGATGAAATTCAGCATCTTAGACTAAGTTAAATTAAAATGCAAATTTTTCTATAATCTATCTTGACTTCATGAATTTAAGTGCAGTACTAGATTGGCAGCTAGGTCTCCATTAGCAATTTCAACAGTGAAATTGTTTTCACTTGAAATTGCTAATTGTAACCATAAGTTCTATGTTGACAGTTTCTTCTTCTCACACTTCTTACTTGTGGAACACTTTCTGGCTTCTTAATTTCCTGTCAACTTTGATCTTTAAAAGTTTAAATGCAATGACAATTATTATTTATGTGTCCTTGAATCCTGTTCTTTTATTGTCATATCTCTTTCTAACATTCTCAGTAACCCCTAGCATTCTGCTGGCTTTTATTGCCTAGCTTTGGGTGAAATAATTTTAAAAAAATTTTGAATGCAAGTGGAGCAAGTTTAAGCCATGAGACAGACAATCAGCTGTAGAGGATATATGTAGTAGCAGCAGTAACAGCTGTCTGGTACCTTTGAAAACACACTCTTTCAAAAATAAATTTTCTAGAAACTAAAAAGTAAGGCTATAAAAAGACCTAAATGGAAGTGTGTATATGAAAATGTTCTTATTTGTACATATGATGCATTTAAAGCCGTATTGAATTTGTTGAGATTATAAAATTTTTATTTTTTATAACTTAGTCTTTAGTGTAGTAAAAAAACTGTTTAACTGTCTAGGTTATTTTTTAGCAGGTACCTTTGAAAAAAGTTTATTTTTGAATGTAGACATGTTGCAAAAATAAATTGCTGCAATTGTGTGAAAATCTATTTTAGAATTAGCGGTTAAAGAACCACCCAAATTGTTTCTTTATGAATTGTTGCAGATGCATTTTTTGAATTTATAGAGAAATAAGTTTTGATATTTATGGACCAGTGAGAGACATGGTCTCAAGCCCTTGTGAAATGCTAGATAGAGCTGATGTGAATATCCTTTGTTCAATATAAAGGATTGCTGTTAGTTTATGGCTTCATAAAGCAATTAATCATCAAGGAGGAAGCATTAGTGCATAGGTTTCAAGGATGGAGGATTAGTCCAGACAAAGGGGTCATAAATCAATATGGTGAAAGAAAGAAGAGTCAACATCTATAGGCATTCAAACTCCAGGACAGAAAATTCCCTTCTGCATCTTCCTAAGAAGAATTTAAATGAAATGAACATTCAAGAGGACATTTCCAATAAAGGACTACATAAAGTCCTCAAGATAACAATCTGTTGAAAACATGAAAAACCTTCAAGATGAGACATTCCTATTTAGTATTCCATTGAAGAAATTAAGTAGGTGCACTTGGTATTTTCAGCCTTGTGAAATTTTTTTACTTCCTAAAACTCTTTCCTTTTTTTATTTTTAAAAAATGTAATCTTTTTTTCATTGAATCACACAAAAGGAAATTTGCGTGAAAATTTTGCTTTGTTGCTTTTTCTGCCTGTGCTTGTATATTAAATGTTTTTCCTTTAAAATTTTGCGCAATGGCTGAATCTTATTTTGTAACCTGTGCTTATTTTGACCTCAAGAAGAGAAGCACACGTTCTCTTTTCCCTTTCTATTTTTACTAACTAGATTTTAATGTTTGGTACAATAATTTAGACTTAGTAGAGAGTTAACATTATATATATATTATATTTATATTTTGAACAAAAAAGATGAATGTGGTCTTTGTGTAATTTAAAAAAAACTTTTACAGCATTGGGGAAGAGATTTTATTGATTTGGTAGAGTTAGCAGTTTAGGATCTTTGCAAACTGTGTTGTGTCCAATGTAGTGTCCCCTACAAAATCCCAAAAGGGAAAGGTGTGCCCAAAACAGTTTACTGCTTTTTTGGTAATTCCATCAAACATTTGTTAGTTGTTCCTTGGCAGATGAGTGGTATAATCCTACCAGACATATCTATTGTTAGAAAAACTGCGCATGAGGCTGCTTATACATGAAGCAATTTCTTTCACTCTAGATCGGTATTTACATTATTTGAGTGATCAAATAACATGAAATATTTCTTTAACTAGTAATTGTCTGATATATGACGATATTATTATCAATAATTACCTTATTTGTAATGTTGAAGTCAATAGCCATTCCGGAACCACAACAAACACCACCAAATGTAAATGATGGCTACAAAAGAACAAGGTAGAATCATTAAATTAACAGTGATTAATCTTCAAATCTTTATATATATATATATATATATATATATATATATATATATAGATAGATAGATAGATAGATAATATTAGTGGTCAATATACATATATATATATATATATATATATATATATATATATATATATATTTTTTTTTTAAGAGTTTCACCCAAGCAAGGCAGAAAGCCACTAGGATGCAAGGGGTACAGAAAATTTGGAGCAAGGTCAAATAGGAGTGATAAAAGAAAGAATGAGGAGAAAAGTAGTGGATAGATCAAGGCAACTGGAGATACAGAGGCCAGTGAGAGAGAGAGAGAAAGAGAGAGAGAGAGAAAGAGAGAGAGAGAGAGAGAGAGAGAGTACAGGAAACCCCTTCCTAAACAAGAAACAAGGTGTAAGCCTCTACTCATGTCCAAGAGAAGGGGGAGGAGTGTGGACTGGGCGGTATTCCAAGAGGATAGAATCCAAGTAGAACTCAATGTCCAGGACAGATTAAGAATATAATATAAAAGGGTCAAACACTAATATTCCATGGTTATAATTTATTACACTGGAATCGTAATCACAATATTTTCCGATTTCTTTTTGAATTTGTAGGTCTGATGAATTGGATCATGATTACGATTCCAATGTAATAAATTATAACCCTGGAACATTAGCATTTGAGCCTTTTCTTATGAGGGGTGGTTAAATTATTTGAACATTTTAAAACCATTATTCTACATTCAATATCATCACTTGATAAGACACCAGAGGTGTTGAAACAAAATGACTATTTTTGTAGTGATTTTATAACATATTTATGTTATAATTTTTAAATAAATAATTATATATATATATATATATATATATATATATATATTTTAAATAAATAATTATATATATATATATAATTTTTAAATAAATAATTATATATATATATATATATATATATATATATATATATATTTTTAAATAAATAATTATATATATATATATATATATATATAATGAGAAGCAAATGTTATTTTCCCTTTACATTGTTGTGAACTAAGAAGAAAGAGTTTATCTTTTTTGCAACATAGAATGTTGCTAGATTGTCAATGAATATCTTCAATGATTAGACTATAGTTTTTATAGGTTGTGTTAGGAGTAGTATCAGTAGTATCATATCAGTGACAGTGAGTGCTAAATAGTAGTAACCATGACATACATATTTAGAATATCTTTCCAGCTTTGGTGTTTGTTATAAAAATTTTGGCTGTTATATTCCTGGGATTTCATGAGCTGAAGATTTTTGTTGTATTTGGTTGAACAGGATTTGTCAAGAATTTTTTTTCTTCTTTTAACCTTAACATAAATGTAACTTTTCAGTTGTCTTTTGATGATTACTTTGGATACTTGGAGAAATTAGGCTGCTTCCTGTGTTGCATACTTTTCAAGTATTGCCTTGAGATGAATATGTCGATTTTTCCCTAACTCTGGAATATCATACAATGAGAAATCTCTCAGTAAGAAACTTAAAATCATTCAGAATGTTTGGTATATTCACAGAACCATCTCAATAAATTGCACAAATCATTTTTGAATTTTCATTTGTTTTTTTTTCTGTAAGATAAAAACAATATATAATAAACCACAAATATTGCTTATTTTATTTTCTCTTCAAAATCAGTTTCCTTCTGTTCAATATGGCCTGTGAGTTTCAAATTCTCCAAGCCCACATTCCTCATTAGGTATCTTAGAAATTTCATTCTGTCTTTTTCCTATTAACTTCAAAGTTAATATCAGTAAATAAAATGGCCACACATTAAAATATTAAAAATGTAACAGTGATAGGATAGTTTTCACAATCAAATCAAAATGCAAATATCGTTAGTTAAAGCTAAATACTCCCGATGCCATCTAATGATAAGAATAAGATGAACTATGATATCAATGAAAAAGATAGAATGAACAGATATTTGAAAGCATAATATTTCAATATAACAAAAGTTTGTTGTACTTAAAGAACTTTATCCATGAATTATCTCCAATCTTGACAAAGTTGTTTAATCATTGTCTGAAAAAGAAACATTTCTAAAATCTGTAGGAATTGTCAGCTGTTTGTTCTGTTATCACAAATACTGGTGAGCATTCATTCATCCCCATCACAATATCAACCCATCAGCCTCCTTAGTGTCATTAACAAACTATTTCAGTATATTATCAACAAGTAAGGAGTTGATCACTTCACCAGAAACAACTTCCTGCATGACAAGCAGTATAGGATTTATTCCTCTCTATCCATTGCTAATGTTTTAAATATAATCACTCACAGAATTAATGAAGCACTCAATTGTAATTTTTTTACCAGAGTGATTGCCTTAGATATATCAAAGGCTTTTGATAAAGTGTGGCCTAGGTGTTTGTTGCACAAACTAGTGATAGCATTACTGGGAAAATATTACATTAATGGATTAATTCAAGGATACCCATCTACTAGGGCAGGTAGCTAATCCCTATTGCAGATGCTTACTCAGGCGCATTTTGTGTTTGTTCAATGCCCACAGAGCTGACCTGTGGTTTATACTGCTACTATGCTGAGCAGACATTAGTTACAGTTTCTGGGAGAGAAGCAGGTTATCTAGTGTGATCAACAATCAGAACAAGGCCAGCATGCTCAAACCCTTGGTCACAATAACTAACACAGCCATTTATGGCCTTCAAGGATTCTGTCAACCCAATTTCACTCACAAGGCTTTAGTCCACCAGTGGTTTTCAGGCACTTTCCAAAGGTGCTGCACACTCCTCCAGACATATAACATCAAGAATTCACCTTTCTGACAAATCAACCATGGTGTGATTCAAACCCAGATCTCAGCATTCTAACCAGATGGCTATATGCCCAACTGTAAAAGATTACACAATCATCAAATACTTTTTCTCATGAAGGCTATTATGAATGCTCAGGCTTCTGAAGTTAATGTGATCAATACAGACATTCTGCAAAGATTTTTATTCAGTCCTCCTCTCTTCCAACGTTTTATTAATAATATTCCAAGGAAGAATCTCAGATCATTTGTAAAAATCTATGCAGGTGATATCACATTTTATGGATGCACTTCCATAAGCAAGATGATCAAATTCTTGCAGATGATCTTTCTGCTGACTTACCTTTAACAGCTCAATGGAGAAAATATCGGCACCAAAAGCCGAGCTAGTATCATTTCATCCTAACAAATCAGACCTGCTGTTTTCACATTGAATGGTTGCATTTTCAATGAGGCTCCAGATTTTGAATGGTTCTCTCCAGACCTCAAGTTGAACTCATATATATGATCCATTGCTAATGATGCTGGAAAAATGGTCAGCTCTCTATTGCTCTAGGAAATATTTGACTCCTACTGTACCTTATCTTTTCAAGAATCAGATTAGAACAAAAATGGAGCATTGGTCACATATCTGGGATGGAACTGCTCAATTCTTATTTTTCAGCCTTGACAAAGTTTAGAATGGTTTATGTGGTCTTGTGGGGGAAATCTTATTTCTCAACTCTGCAGCCTCTTTTCCACAGATGCAACATTACAAGTATGTCACTACTCTACTGATATTTCAATGGCAAATGTTTAGAGGAACTCCATCAAGTCAAAACTTTACTACAATAACACACCAAGATACATCCATAGAGTATAATCACTGCCATGTGGATGTTTCCCTGAACCCAACAATCTTGACCTTTTCAAGACAAGACTTATTTGTTATTGCTTGTCCTTAGAATCATTTTCTAACATATCTCTTTCATTCATAGGACACACCACTTTCATTATAACCATTTCAAGAGTAATCTTTTTTTTGAGTGACTCTCAAGTCTTGTATTTTATGGACTTTAGTATTAAAAAGAAAAACCTATATGTTTATCATGCCATTAGCTTTCACTATCTTATATCTGTTGTTATTACAAAAAATCTACATGAAGAAATCAGCAACAATATTCTTTACTTACCACATCTATTTCAATGCAAGGATTTTCTACACTTCCACCAACACGTAGAAACAAGTTTCTCCAATTACGGATTGCAACTTCAAGGTTGAAATCAAACTTCATGATGGATGTTGGAGTGAATGACAAATGTAATTCTCTTTCTCCTCCAATTGGTATGATTCCTCTGACTGGAGTTATTGTCATTCCTGCCACAGGGTTAGTGTCAGCAACCTTCAAAAGAGGTATTACAAAAGATACAACCTGTCTCTCTTTATGAGGTAATTATATAATCATTAAGGAAATGTGAAATGAAAGTCAGCCAAGTTGCAATTAGGGCAAGGAAAAAAAAATGGTGTATCAAAAAGAAGTTTTTCTTTTGACTCTACTATTACTGTATACTCCCTCAGTAATTTCTTTTTGTTTACAAAATTATTTTTAGAAAAATAATACCTCCAGATAGGAGGATTTCAAAACAGCAAAACAGAGCTAAATATATATATATATATATATATATATATATATATATATATATATATATATATATATGTATGTATATATATATATACCCAAATATAGGATTGGCGTATATGGAATAAATTCTAATAACCAAAAAATACTATTCTTAAAAGAGTGCTCAATACAGAGTAGAGCAAATATAATTTATTCGAAAATTATAACATAAATATGTTATAAAATCACTACAAGAATAGACACCAGAAGTGTTGAAACAGAAGTGTTGTAATGATTTTATAACATATTTATGTTATAATTTTTGAATAAATTATACACACACACACACACACACACACACACACATATATATATATATATATATATATATGATGATTGACTCTCCAGTCGATTTTGATGTATGAGGATCCAACAACCACATTCAGTTTTTATGTTTGTGCTGTATATGACACTTCAGTCCCACCAGTGAATGGAATACACGTCTACAGTGAGAATCTTGGGACATAGCCACAGCAATATTCGCTGCTGATGTCTTTTGCTTCTTAGCTTGACAATATGACTGATTTTGAAATTTCTGATAGCACTCTGACACTAATATCTATCTAAGGCAACTCACTCAAAGTTAGTATGAGGTATATTGACAGCTGAGAGGCTTTAGCTTGTCTTTATACCTGAGCCACGCTCATCCAACACTTCTTTGTCAACTGTCAAGCTGGCTATACATAAAGTCCTTAGTTATTCTGTCATCACTCATCTTTGAGTTATATTAACCAGCCCTGCAGAATCATGACTTCATCAGGATAGTCTAGATTCCACCAAAGTTGCATTTTGCAAGAAGATCAACATTGGACATCTTACTATCAAAAGTATAGCTATAGATCATGTGGAGACAACTTTTTGTATAAGACACCCAGCTGATTGATAAGGTACACGATTTTGAGCTGTACAACAGTTTGGTCAAAATGGATGCTTCATAAACCCATATTTTAGTGTCCAATTTGATACCTCTCTCTGTCTATAGGTGGTGATGAAGCTTCCCAAATGCACTTGTAACTTTGATGATCTGATTTGTTATTTCATCATCAAAGTATGCATTTGCATCCATCTTGCTTCCTAAATATGTAAATGACTTCACATATTTCAAGTTCTCCCTATCAATCTATATAGAATGTTTGTATATGAAAAGAAGTAATGGATATTTTATTTATTACTTTGACAATCCTGCTAGACAATCAGTGGCATAGATAGAGTGGAGCATAGGGGCCAGGCTGCCATGCATGGTACTTTTGTTTTTGCTCTATAGGCTGTATTGAAATAAAAGTGGTTTGAATGTTAGGACAGTACTCAGAGTTGAAGGATCTTTTCAGTTTCAAGTAACTTAAATTATGGCATATATATTTGCCTATCTACTGGCTATAGAGCAATAATTAATAGACAGAATATTTTTTGATGATGTCATTGAAGAATTTTCCAAAAAACAAAGCAAGAAAAATTACTTTGTAGAAAGTTGTAATTTTCATTTCAGAAATAAAGAAGAACCTATTTTTTTTTACACTTTTTCCCTACATGTCATTTTTGCTCTTTAACTGTTACTCATAAAGTTTAAGTATGTTAAAACATACTATATTTAAAGCATACTATATTTGAGTATATGAAAGTAATATTATAATGGTACAAAAACTAGTTTTATAATTTTAAGAGTAAGTCACTGTGCAATAAGTATTTTTTATGGGATGCTGGAGGACAGGAAACTTAAGGGCTGCCCCGGGTGGCACACACTCAGACTATGCTATTGCAGACAGGACATATATATTTTAAATAAGATTTCTTGAATATTCAGGCCAATAGATGAAAATAAATATACTGCTTAATAAATGAACAAAGCATCTACTCAAATATGAGTATCCATTAAAAATATCACTGAAAGTGATAAAGTGTATATATATATATATATATATATATATATATATATACACACACACACACACAGACATGGCAATAATGATAGTCTGTTTTCGTTTGCATGGAAGATTTCCAAGCAATGACAAACTCATGCATACAAGACGCTGGAAGCGAAAATCGCACTGCAGCTCATGACATCACACATGATCACGCGAGAATTAAAATGATGATTGCTTATGTAAGTCAAAAGCTTAGATAGGATTAAAAAACATGTATCAATATGGTGATTTTCTTTCGTCTTTCAATGATATTTTTAAGCTTATCAGACGATATGAAAGGAATTTGCTTAAAATAGACAAAACTTGTCTATATTATTTAATGAAACATGCATTAATATATATTGTGTGTGTGTATATCTATCTATCTATCTATCTATCTATCTATATATATATATATATATATATATATATATGTATGTATATAAATAAAAAGAAAGAACAGTAAGATATAAAATCCGGTGTTCTTATAGATATTTTTATTTTTACAAATATATATATATATATATATATATATGCACACACGCACATAGAGAATGAGAGAAAGAGAAAGTGAGAGAAAGAGAAAGTGAAAGAAAGAGAAACTAAGAAAGAGAGAATGAGAATGAGAGAATGATAGAAAATGAGAGAAAAGGAGCTTTGTAGTATGTATGCAATGGGGACATAATATACATACTAAAAAGTTCCTTTTGAGTTCATTTGATGTTGGATAAAAAGAATGTATTTCATTTAATACTCCACTGATACACTTCCAATACACTTGATTCCCCCCCTCCTCCTCCCCCTCCTCTTCCTCCCCTCCCCCTCCTCCTCCCTTTCTATCACACCTCAACATTGCGCGTTTATTCATTTATTTAATTTTTTTTAATATAACATTCATAAATTTTTTAAAAAGATAAAGCATTAGGAAATCAATTGACTGAAATCGTCTGAAGGTACGGAAAGGTTGAAATTGTTGAATGTGTGCGTGTGTGTGTGCATGCACATATGTGCAATTCAAATAAATTACTTACAGCATATATGATTGAAGGGTTGGATCATATATCATACAGGTCCAAGGGAATAATATTTTGCCTTTAATGGCTTCCGCAGCGAAACAAATTATCATGCATTATAAAAATAGTCCTCCAGCTGATGTATTTAAAAATCTAAGACATTGTGATAAAGTCAGATCATACTAATTGAAACATTGTGATGAGAACAACGAAAATGTGGATAAAAAATAAAATAATGACAATACTGAAATGTTTAGAGGATAACATACCTGAAAATAGGCATGGTTGCTTCCGGTGTTAACCAAAGTGGCTGTGCCATATGTTGTTAGGTTAACTGGGCAGTTGATTAGAGCCAAACGGCGCTCAATAAAGTGGACATTGGTTGAACCAAGCTAAAAAAAAAATGAGGAAATATAATTTAACAAAGAAAATAATGATCTCAATATTGGCTAATAGACAGATAAACATATCTCATGAAAAATCTTTAACTTTGTCTATCTGGACAATAAACAAAGGGAGGCTTATGTAACTGATTGTTTTTTAATGAAAATTAAAAAAAAAGATGTATGATTGCTTGCTTAATGGCTGAGATAGTTGTATCATCCTATTGGTAAGAAAAATCAGTTAGCATTTGATCTCAAGTAAAAGTTAGATTCTCAAATATTGATTATCAATACAAGGACGTATGTTACAAATGAAAAGTATACACATTAGAGAATTACCTGGAGAATGTTTCCATCATGGATTCAACATTGTACCATACTAAGGTAAGATTTGAAAATATTGCCACAGATAATAAAATAAAATTCCTGTTCACTCTATACCGTATAATAAATGCCTCACTGCCTCCTGCTTTCCACCTTGCTGGAAGTCATTGTCTTTTGTTCTAGTTTTTAAGAACACTAGTAAGTTGTCTGATGCATCCAACTATCAGCTTACTAGACTTCTGCCTCTTTTGGGTAAACTTCTAGAGGCCCTAATCAATGCTGAATTGGTTCATCATTTCTCATTAAACTAAAATAACACTAGAATAAAGAACTTCTATATGCAAAATACTTGTTGAAAACACAAGAAAATGTTTAAAAGAAGTAGAAATCCTAATCATAAGAAACAATTGAAAAACAGTTCTTAATAACATCAACTCTAAACATGTCCATAATGTACTGGCCACATTTAGAAATAAAAAAATAAACATGTATATCTCGACAACCTACATGCCATTTTCAATGGTGCAACCAAAATCCTTGAAAATGGTTATTAGAGTCACCAAAAGCATGTGGAATGAGGAAACATTTGGACAGTTTCTCAATATACTATGTCACTCCCAAAATCTCTGGTTTACAAAGAAGAAGAATACAATCCAAAAACAAGTGCCTTGTCTGTCATTTTCAATGAAATATGTATTAGAGAAGAACTACTGCCTAAATGCAGATATATATGTGTGCATGCGTGTATATGTAAGGATGTGTATCGATTGAAATAAAATCTAATGTCTCTGTTAACAATGGTGTAAATCTCAGATCGTAGATAAATAAATCGACTGACGGGAACCAGTATCTGGACAAATACCACAGTACCTGAGATCTCTTTGTTTGTTGACATACATTACTAGATTTGAAAAAGAACTCAACTTTTCTAAAGTTATTTGATGACTATACAGATTGGACAAGCAAAACAGATCATTGTCTGGCCTTTTCAATTGAGATCACATTCACTGCTCAGTGTCCTAACCTTGTCACATGGTTGGTCAATTCAAATAAGTTCATGCCATTAAATTAGGCAATCTTATTGAGAAAATTATTGATTGAACTCATTAATGTAGGCTGTGAAAATGAGACGGAGATTTTATCACCAACTCAACTTCTGCAGATATGACTAAACTTGGAATCTCTCAATCAGCAAAGAAGTGATATATAAAGAAGTGTTACAATATCAGACAGAGGCAACTTCAGCATTGATCTGGCATTCTTACAAATGAGTAAAGTAAAATCAACAATGTCTGATATTGTGAGGTACAGCTCTGACCCCTAAAGATAACCTCTAATAAAAACTTTATTGGAAAAAAATGTGCCATACTTGCAGCAGTAGTCATATTGTGTGTGTGTGTGTGTGTGTGTGTGTGTGTGCATGTGCGTGCGTGTGTGCGTGTGCGTGTGTGTGTGCGTGTGTGTGCGTGTGTGTGTGTGCGTGTGTGTGTGTGTGTGTGTGTGTGTGTGTGCGTGTGTGTGTGTGTGTGTGTGTGCGTGCGTGTGTGTGTGTGTGCGTGTGCGTGTGTGTGTGCGTGTGCGTGTGTGTGTGCGTGTGCGTGTGTGTGTGCGTGCGTGTGTGTGTGTGTGTGTGTGTGTGTGTGCTGTTCTTCATAATGTAACTAAACTGTACTTGACTGGTGAAAGTCTTCTGGGCTGAGCAGTGTAAAACGTCCACCAGGCAAACCTTGGCAGATGGCAAAATTCCTTCAAGACATTTGAATGCACAGACTGTTAGATGTATATTTATACCAATTAAAAATCTGGGATGTCTACTTAAACAAGTATATCCAATATATATATATATATATATATATATATATATATATAAAATAAAAAATAAAGAACAAATGGAATCAAAATCCACAGTTTGTAGCATTTGCTTTTTTTAAAATTGCTCAATACAAAGTAGAGCAAAATATTATTATTATATTTTTATTATAATAGATTATAATAAAAACATTTACATCGCTATACAAAAGTTTTATTCCTCAGGCGATGGTAGATAACTTTTGATCTTTTGATTTCAACCATGAGATCTGGGTTCAATCTATATTATCTTGACTTATTTTGGAATATTAATTCATCAGACTTTTCCAACAGTGATTAAAATCTATACACGAGTAATTGTTTGTAAAACTAGTTTGCTAGCTATTGCTTCATACCAAGGCAATTGTATTATTGAATTTAATTAAAGCAATAAAAATGGACATACTTAAACAGGAGGAAGAGTTAATAACAAAAAAAGAAGGTTATTAAAAAATAACATTGGCATCAAGTGGTAATATCAAAATGCAATGTAATTAAAAAAAAACACTAGATGAACTGGTTTATCAATACTTTTCATCAGAGCTCAGTCAAGGCCAAAAAATATGCACAGCAGTTAAAATGAACATCAAAAGCCAAATTTTATATAAATATATAATTGAAAGTTGATTGTATTTAATCCTACTAACCATGCCTTCTGCTTGAGGAGAGATGGCTGGTAGGACTTAGTATAAACATGTCTTTGTTGTAAGATTGGGCAAAGTCCTGATTTTTAACAAATGTTCAACTATTGCCAAACCATTTGTTTCATGTAGCTATGCCCTTGTGAATATTGCTGATTGATACTTGATACCAACCTTTGATCACCTTTAACTACATAGGCAGTGTCACACTGACATTTTGAATTGGTAAGTGATCTGATATAGACATCCTTCTGGATTGGTTTTAACATTACTCAACAACAAGTTTGGTGTTCATTTTTAGTCACTGTGCACATATTACATCCTTAGTTGAACTGATAAGAGGACTGACATACTGGTTTAGCTGCCTTTTTGTTAAATGTATTGTATTGCGATATTACCACTTTGTGGTAATGTTATTTTTTTGTTAAACCTCTTTTTGGTTATTAATTCTTCTTGTTTAACATGTCTGTTTTTATCCCATTTTTTATCAAACCATTCAGAACCCCAGCTACTAAATATGATGATTAAACAGGGAAATGATAACTACAAAATGGTCAATGTTTCTTTTGCAGAAAATGTAAATTTAATTGTCATAGAAAAGATGATACGATCAATATATTTTATTTTAATTACTGTCAAGGACCAATTTGAATAATGTTGAAGCTTGAATAAGCATGGAATAATAATAATACAACACAAAATGTACGTAACAAAATGTATTGAAACAATGAAAAAAGGTACACAATATTTACAGGTAGTTTTGGTATATTCTTGGGAAGACTGTTCCTGCAGAATGGGTTGACTAAGTCACAGTCGGGCAGAGTCTCTGGATTCGATCTCTTAATCTTCCCACCCATATTTATATGGTCGGTACTCCACTTATGTAAATTAGGTGTATCATACACAACAAATAAATAGAGGAAAAAGGCTAGAAATTCTATTATTACTTACTTGTGCTTTGCATTCAAATTCTATGGTGTTTCCTCCCAAGACATTCAATCTGAAGGAGCCTGTGTCTGGAGACAAATATCCAGGTGTCCATAGAACCTCACAGTCAAGTTCTTGGTATTCTGCAATAACGCCTAATAAAATGAAATAGAATCATTTTATTAACCTTGTTTTATAAATTCACATAGTGTTGAATTTTGTCTTTGCAGGCCAATCTCACATCAGCAGAACAAAACACCAACGTTTTGGAAGGGACCAAAGCATAGTATCTATTCTCCTCTTGTTTGAGATGAGAAAAGATACCTGGTCCTAGGGTTTACAAACCTGCAGCAGCACCTTCCTCATAAGACGGGTGAGGTTGGTGTAATTTGTTTCAGCATGACAGTACTTGGCATATATATATATATATATATATATATATATATATATATATTCACCCATGTAAAAAGAAAATAGAAAAGCTTGTGTCCCATCCTGCCTGTCAGGTAAATTTACACAATAAAATAGCAACATTTAAACATTTAATCTGTGTAATAATTTTTAACTGTTGATGCCCTTGTTTGTGATAATCCTTCTTCATGCCCACAGTAGCTCTCACTCAGCACATAATGGTCATTTTGTGTCTTTGAGTTTGAAACTGCTGTTCTATAAGTAAGCTAATAGAGCCTTTCTCTTTTATATATATATATATATATATATATATATATATATACACACACATAAATAAATAAATATATTGTATAATAAAGGCAAAACCGGTATGCTATAAAGACAGTGCTCAATCAAAAGTATAAAAAGATATACAAAACAGAGCCAATGCAAAATATAAGTAAAACAATACTCATATGTTACTGCTTTCCACGACTTAAACTTTCATGTGGACACTAAGATGTGGATGCTGTTGCCTCCCAATTCTTAGGTGGTAATGAGATATTCAGTTACTTATTAAGGAAGCCTTCCCATGGCTTGTGGTATATAATTCACAATGAGTGCGGGGAGAGACAGGTAGGAAAGGAGTTCCCTTGTTGCATATTATATACCGCAAGCCATGGGAAGGCCACCTTAAAAAGGAATTGAACACCACACAAGGATTGTGACACAACAGCATCAACATCTATATGTCGACATGAAAGTCATGGAAAGCAGTGACATATCTGTATTGTTTTATTTAGATTTTATATATATATACATATATATATTCATACATGTTTCATTAAATAATATAGACAAGTGTTGTCTATTTATTTTATGTAAATTCTTTTCATAACGTTTGATAAGCTTAATAACATTATCATTAAACAAAGAAAGAAATCACAATATTGATACATATTTTTGATCCAATCTAAGCTTTCAGCCTACATAAGCCATTATCAAAGATGACAATTACAGTACAATATATTAAGCAATACACTGACAAGAATGTGATGATAGTTTGTTTCTGTTTACATGGATGATTTCCAAGCAACAATAAACACGTGCATATAAGATGCTGGAAGCAAAAATCGCACTGCAGCTCATGACGTCACACATGACCACGTGAGAGTGGATTCAATAAGTATATATATATATATACATACATATATATAATTATATATATATATATATATATATATATACACACACACAAAGTTCTATTAAATTTAGCTAACAAGGTCTGCTTGTTTAATTTATCATTGTATTTGTTTCTAATTTTCAAATATGATGTATATCTGGGTTCAAACCTTTGAATGTAGATTGGGCAAAATTACTCCAATTTTGGTCTGATCTGACTCTTTTAAATATAGGGCATGCCAGAGGTTAGTTAATTTCTGGAGTGATACAAAGAACTAAGCATTTTTCCAGCATCTTTAGAAATGGTTCATATCTACCCATTTAAGACTAATTGTAACTGAATGAGTACATGCAGTTGATTCATTTCACTAAAAAGAACAAGAGAATGATACAAATCAGTTCTATACAGTGTAAACCAATACAAAACCTCTTATGTCTTATTTACCATGCATTGGTCGAACAGTAAAAGCTGTATCTTTTATGTTTGTAGTCGAAGTCCAAGTGAAAGCAGCTGGATAGTTCAGTTTGTTGCAAAGGGTTATGACACTAGAAAATGCTGCAAAACAAGAAATGCAAAAGTAAGGAATAAAAAAAAAAGTACAATTGAAGCTTCATTTAATTTACCAATTATGAAGTTATTTGACCAAAAACTTCCATATTCAGTATTTAACCCTGACAATTATTTTGGGAAAAATAGCTAACACCTCTACAGACATATGAGTTGACAATTAGACTTGTTTCATGTTCAGAAGGGCATAAAAAATCAAGATCAATGTATAATCATATCTGTAGCTGGTTTTAGAGCATTATGTGTAGGATGTGTTTATTCGTCAGTGTCTGAAAAAGACATTTTTGGTAAAAAATGTATATACATATCTATGTCAGGTTTATGTGGTTAATCATTTCCTTTTTTTTATCTCCATTATAGAAATATATTTATTTGTTAATTTGAAAAATGGCTAAAGTGTGTAGTGATAAATAAAACCAGATAAAAATTTAACTGATGTTAGTACAATTTCAAATTCAATAAAAATGAATCGTGTGGAATGCTTAATTCAGGTGAATGAAATATTTTTCCCCTATGTGTCACATCCCTTCAGAGAATAGGTAGTTGTGGAGAGCTGTGTTCATTTATCTTTTGTGGCTCTTAGCAGTTTTATCCTTTGCTAAGACTTGCACCCAAATGTGCTTCTGCCATTGAATCACACAATCTCATCATATAAGTGGCTTGCTGCCTTTTATTTCTCTTGCCATCAATATGCTTTGTGTGGGTTAAGTTTTCAAAGCCCCCCCACACTTTCTCATCATATGTGCAAAGAATTTCAACTATTTATTACTGATTCTGAGTATAAGTTTTCTTTTTGTTGCCATTTTCTTTAAGATTTCCTTGTTGATTACTCGCTCTATGAATTAAATTTTTAGTATCCTTCTGTCAAAGTACATTTCTGATGCCTCTAGGTTTTTGGCATTCATGATGGAATTGTCCAACATTCACTGCCATATAAGAGGATAGATATCACATAGCAATCCAGCACTCATTTTTTTGTTTCTAATGATTTTTTTTCTGTTTCTCAGCACCTGACTTAGCTTTTGGATTGCAACTTTTGCTAGTCCAATGCATGTTTAAATCTTGGTGGCACATTTTCCATACTCTGTTAAAATACTTCCTAGATATTTCAACTTCTGCACCAGCTCAATGTTTATATCTCCTGTTTGAAATTCACATCGATGGTTAGAGCTTTTTCTCACATTCTTCTACCATCCTTTCTATGAGGCCCTGTCATATCCTTTCTGAGTCAGCACAGTGTCATCTGCATATGTTATATTGTTAAGATTATGCCCACCAATAATAATTTCTGATAGAGTCTCCAGTTCCTTTAGGATAGTGTTGCACAGTAAATGCTGAATAAATCTTGGAAGATGCTGTGTCTTTTTCTCACACCCCTTTTTATCTACTTATATGGAAATATTAGAGGATCAGTAAGATTGGTTGGAAATTTGAGTTTGATTTGAAGAATGTGGCTAAATCTTTTAATATTTTGAACACTGATACTGTATTTCCTGCTATGACGCTACAAGTTGTAAGATGCTAACTATAATTAACGAGGTATTTTTTGGTAAAAAATATTTGAAGATTTGATAACTTACCATACAATTCACTGTCTCTATGGTGTTATTTGTCATTCTGTCACAATAAATTATCACAATTTGGACATATTAAATATTCGTGGTTATTATTGATTAGATTTTTAATGTTGAACATATTTACACTATTTACATAATTTGCACTGTTATTCTCATCTTTATTGCCATATTCACAATGTTTTGTTTGTTGTATGCTCCAGCCTTCTTCAGGTGATATAAATTGGAATTTTGAACTGAACTCTTTATTTTCTTCATAGGGGTAGATTGTTCTAATTCCATGTGCCATGCCTTTTTTGGATATCTCACTGTCAGTTAATTCCCTTCAGTAACTCAAATTTCCAAGTTTTTGTTTCCTCTGTTCTGGCCAGTTATTGAACACACAACTCTTTGGGTTAAGTCACTTTTTGGATGACTCAATGCTTTTATCCACTGGGTCATGTGTCCTTGGGGATTTCTGAGGTTGGAGCATACAATGGCCAAAATGTTGTGAATATGGCAACAATGATAAGGACAACAGTCCAAATAATTTAAATAGTGTAAATAGTTACAATACCTCATTTTAGAAATATAGACTTATGTTAAACCTATTCATGTCTGAGACAATTTGTACTTGCCACTATGAACCACAAGGTGTTTCAACACATGGTGTGTTTATATTTGTCTCCCAGCTAATGCTTCAATATCCTCTGGTGAGTGACTATGCTGACAAGATTGGTGATGTCATCTTCTTTGATGAAGGTAGTTGGCTTTTCTGTCTGAAGATGGCATTGGTGAGGCACCATCAGTATAAACAAACATAGTGGTTAATAGGTACAAGTAATTGACAGTATATTTGGATTCCATGCTAGGCCTATTGAACTAACCTGTTTGTTTCAATAGTACACAAAGAGTGGAAATAAGGCTGGTATACTTGGCATACATATGAAATGTTACTATCAGTCTGTATTATGTGACTGAGGTTTGCATGAATAAAAGACTTATAGTACCAGTAGAAAGCCTGTACTATGTGACTGGGGTTGTAGATGAATGAAAGACTTATAGTACCAGTAGAAAGCTGCCAACTAATTATCAGTACTAAAAAAATAATGTATATGGTAATTATAGTAACAAATAAATGTGGTATTTATTACACATGAATGATAATTGTAGGCTTATATTTAGTAGTGTACAGAAGTAGGGCTGAGGGTGTGAGAACCCCAGGCATCCATATCGGAAGGGCATACAATTAAAGAGCGAAATGAAAATTTGAAATTTCACCTGTTTTTGCATATTTAAATGACTTTCTTTCTCACCTTTCTCAGGACTATAGGCTCCCCTAGTTGTGTCTTAGGGGCATACAATCAAGGGGTTGGCCACAGGCATTCACCAACACTCTGCATGCCACTGATGATATTATATATCTGGAGTTTATGTATCTCATGATTGGGGTTGATGAGGGTTAGGAAACTCCTCTCTACATTTTAGCCTTTCAATGCTAAGATGCGGGTTTATTCTTTAGGGTAATTTTCAGGAAAAATACTTTTAAGCATACACAAAATACAGTAAATGAAACCAGCCATATTGCATGCTGCTATGTTATGTTATTAAACTTTTCAGCAACAGTCTGGCTCATCAATTTATAATTCAATTTGAGTTTACTGTTTTTTGTCTGACATTTAATATTCCTTTAGTCAACATGAAGATAAATTTGGCAATAATGTGAAGAGAAAGTTTCTTATATTCAGCCAAAATATTGACATTATCAAAAAAGGAAGATCGTATAGATAGCATTTGTACAATTGTTATCTATTTTGGACTGTGAAGCAACAGTAGGAAATTTAGGATGAAGAAATAAAGGAAAACTTTAAATAAGAATCAACTTTTTGTTGTCTGCAAACCAACTTAAGAAAGAAAAGCTTTGTGACAATAGAAATTAGCAATTTTACCTGTGTTGGGTGAAGAATTAAACCAAATAAAAAAATTTACCAGATATTATAATTTCAGGCAGTGAGGATTCAATTAAAATGATGCTGAAAGAAATGGCAACCAACTGCAGGGAAAAAATCTGCTTCGTCAGTCATGTATCTAAAGATATATGATTGCCTAAGTGTATATCATGCATGACACATAACTGACTGTGACATATTTAATGAATACAAGAATGCTGATAGATAAAAAAGTCGGCAAAGTTTAACAAAGATGCCCACAAAAAACAGTTTGAAAAGGATGTTTTTTTTCTCTTGACAGTGCTATTATTTTCTATTCCCTCAGAAATTTTTGTTGTTTTAAAAAGTTATTTTTACAATTTTAATATCACCCAAACTGAATTTATATATTTTTTTGCATGAATTAACACTAACAGCAAAAATATTATACCCTTTATCTTATTAGATTTACAAGAAAATTTAATATTTACAAGAGATTTAAATTTTCTTATTTTATAGTTCACAGACATTTCTATAAATTTATGAATGAAGAATTTGTTTTTGTCATTATTTCTTTATATGGTAAAAAATAAATGTTTTATTGTTCTTTTTTTCACATATTTTAATAATCTTCTAAATATAAAATTATTCTTGTAAATAAACAATCTAATAAACAGTGTTTTACATTTTTATTGTCAATTCTTGAGAAAAAAAAGCAAACACATTCATCACAACCAACAGTTCCTTAATTTTATCCTAACAGGTGAGGAAAAATACGTGACAAAACAATGTTCAATGCAAAGAGTAGTAGATTGTTAAGGATAAATCCCCATAACTGACCACAAAAGCTGACATTTATGAAAGAAAGATAATATTGTATATATAATGGGATCATCAGGGTATTATTCATTTAGTGTTTTTGAAATGCAGTGAAACACTAAATGCACATTTATATATCTAGCAGCTGCAACATGGACATAAAGTTTGGTTGAAAACCCCCCAATTCTTTTCAATAGGAAAAATGTTCTCCTCCATGATGCTGCAAGGCCACATGCAGCAAGAATAACAAAAGAAATATTTTGCAATTGTTGGTCTGTTCAACCCCACTCGCTATATTTACTTAATGTTGCTCCAATTGATTATTACCTTTTTTTGATTCTTGCAAAACTCTTTGAATGAAAATCAGATTAAAGAGTTTGTCAAAAGCTTTTTCACGTCAAAATATACAAAATTTTATTCAAAAGGTATTGAAGCATTGCCTGGCCATTGACAATAAATTATAGCAAATAATGGTGAATATATATGTTATGGATAATCAAGAGTGGTCTCCCCTGGTTTTGTTACTCTCCTCTTTGAGAGAACCATTTCTGTTTACTGGGACTATAAAAGCACACTATATGTGAACCTTGTATTCTTTGTTGAATAAAGCTTTCTTAAAGCCTATACCTACATACTTTTGTCATTATAATATAATTGAATAAAGTGTAATTATCCTTTTTTCTTAATCCTAAAATTGATAAATGGAAATGGAAATTATTTATGACTCAAACTAAGACTTTCAAAAAGGAATCAAATAAAAATATGAGAAAGGATTTCTTTTTAAAATTTTTACCAGACTCAGGTGTCAATCCAGGAACTGGAGTCACAATCAATGGTGAAGGGCAAGAGAGTTCAAGTGCTACTTGTACAACTTCTGCTAACACACAAATATGATTTTCATTAGAGCCATTGATGTTATATGTAATCGACCTGAAATTGAAACAGAATGCAAAGTTTAATACATACTTTTAAATGAATGCATGAGTTTCCATAGACTTATTAGAAGACAATTACCAGAATGCACATCGAAGGTGGTGATGAAATATTCTGCAACTTTCCAAAATCTGACTATATATCTTTGTTTTCTTATTCTCTTCTTAGTGAGGCTGAAAACCAGTTGCTCTAAGGTACTGTAAGCTTGGATGTGAGGGTGGTGCAATGGATTTTTTTCAATGAATTCACCTCAAGCAAAGTGATAATTCCACTAAGATGCAAGGGGATACAGGGAATGAAAAGACTTTAGAAGGAACCAGAAACCCAATCTTAAACAGGAACGAAGGGATAAAGCTCTATTCCTATTCAAAATGTTGGTGTGGTGCATGAACTGGATGATAGATGAACCTATCTACTCTTATTGATTGGAATGAGAAATTGGAGTGCAGAGTTCTAATTTCAGTTGGGTTTGCTATATTCACTTATGTGCATATACCCTTGGTAAAAGGTATGAATCTGCCTCTTTTCCCTCCACCTATGAGTTAAATTGTAGGACTTGTATCAGAAAATCATTATCTCTAAAAATATTTGATAAGCCATAAAAAAACAAAAACAAACCAATCAATCTATCCCAATGATATATACAAAACTTCTGGATGCTGAAAAATCCCTTTCGTTTTGATTTTAACACACAACACATTGCCAAAATTTGATTAAACAAATTCTGGATTGGTAAAGAATTTTGTATTTGTTGATTACGTTCAATGTTTAAACAATAAACTTGCTTCAATGGTTTATATTAAGAAAGTTTTGAAAAAATTCACCTTTCATTATGACCAACAATCACAAGAGATGTGTTATTCTGCTAAATTCTTCTATTATGTGAGTGTCAAAATGTAGTTTTAACCTTGGTGAAAAACTTGCAAGTTAACATCTTGCATAAGCTTTTAGTAAAACTTAGGTAAGTATTAAATGGTCACACTTTTGACTTTGTGCTATCTGTTTACAAATGAAATCTAGTATAAAATTAAATAGTAAAAAATCCTACAATACCAAATGGCTCTAATACAGATAAAGATAAAACAAACAGACTGGTGAATAGACACTCTCCAAGTCTGGAAATCAAGAAGTGACAAGCTAAGGTCATTACTTTGATTTATGAGACCCACTTATCCTAAGAGACCCCAAGGTATTTTCCTCATACACAGTTTTTTCTTTCTTTCATTCTAACCTGAGGGAGCCAAAGAGAGCATATACATCTTTAATAAAATTTTCCACTTTGTCTAATGCTCTGGACTGAGCGACTTGGGGATAGTAGTTGTAGCATGTGGAAGGCACAGTGCTATGGATAAGGGAAACTCGGATGAGTTCCACCAAGGAATATGTGATTGAGCAGCACTATATCAAGTCTAATTCATTACTGCTTTGTCACCAAGGCCCATTGGTACAGTTGGTATGGTGTTTGCCTTCTATTGTAGCTGTTAGGGTTTCAATTCTCGGTAGTGGATGTGCACTGCTGATGAGTCCCAAATATAGGACAAAACGGCCATCCAGTGCTTTCTGCATTCTGCTGAGGTTTCTTCTAGACTCGATGAATTACTTAATTATGATTATTTCGAATTCTCCTAATTATTCATATATATATATATATATATATATAGACACACACACTGAGGGTGTCACAGAAATGTATACATGTGTATATGAACTGACATGTGTTTATATGTATAATTTTTTTAGGATACGCACAGACACATTTTATATATATATAACATAACAAATAACTGATAATGAACATAACAAATAACTGATACAACAAAAGTTAATAAAAATGAACACGCTACCACCCCTTGTCTGGATGATTGGATTTCTCTGTATCCTTGGTAACCGTAAACTATGAATTTTCCTTGCAGTTAAAACTCAGTAAATTTTAAAAAAATAAGTTACTCCAAAATTCGCTTGAGGAAGAAATGGAACTAGTGTTTTTAATTTAATTACAAAATTTAAAGTTTTTAGCTTCCATTTTTGAACCAAGGTTATGACTGTGTAGCAAAAAAAACATATTTTAAATCAGTTAATTTATAATATTAATGCTTTGTAAATTTACATTGAGCATTATTATATTAATATATAATAATAATATATATTAATAAAAAATAATAAATATCAATAAGAATACCGGATTACATATCTTACTGTTCTTTCTTTTTTTATTTATATATATATATATATATATATATATATATATATATATATATATATATATATATATATATACATATATATATATATATATATATATATATATATATGTATGTATATATATAAATATATGAATCACTCATAAAGTGCTGGTGTTACACAAACAGTGCTCGATGTTATATAACAGTGTTATAAAGTATATACATTAATGAATATACATATCCCACACCATTTGTACAACTCAGTTTCATGCCAAATGCAATCTTTATTTAATTTGAAAAAATATCAGTTTATCATAATGCTGGCATAGTTAAGCACTATTTATATAGTGATATAATCTTTTTCAAAAACTTAAAAAAAAGATTAATTATATTTCTCATGACATTAAATGTAGCAACTAAACCAATTGTTCTCTAATTATTTCTGGCAACTGAAAGACTCTGGCAATTCAGATTCTATTAAATGGAATGTAATGGCCAGAGCTAAACTGGCCAATGGCAAGGGGCATAAATGCAGCCTGTGTTTACTTGAAAAAATAATTATCTTACAACATTTAAATAACCCAGGCTTACTAAATAAGAGAAAAGAACTGATGGTCACATGTATGCATATAGACTCAGATTAAGTTTTCTATACTATCATGGTTTAGTTTTCAGTGTAGGGTATTTTGATTTATCTATTTACTTATTTATTTACTTATTTAATATTTATTACTTATTATGTGTTATTGTTTTTTTAATATAGATTTTTTATTATACATTTTTATTTATATTTTATTTTTATTATTTTTTTTATTATTATATATGTTTCTTGACTTTTAAAATTGACTCATTTCTCCTTTGAATAATGTTCCAGTCACTTTTGAGTATTGCATTTGTTGAAAAAAAAAATTATTTAATTAATAATACATCAATTTGTCGCACAAAACTGAAGGAAGGGAGTGGGGAAAAGCAGTTCCACACAGTGTATGCTACTCCTAGATAATCCGATCCAGGAACCATTCACTCTAACAAATAACACAATCACCAAAAGAACTAATCCCTCTCCATTCAATCTGAACATTTACCAAAATGCCACATCATCACAGGGGATCTAATGCTAGGATAGACCCATTTGCTTTTTTTAAAGAAATAGATAAAAACTAACAAGATATGAAAGAGGAGGGAGTGAACTAATATAATCATATAAAAAAGATAAACTAAACATTTAAAAGAAATTAAATCTGTTTTAGTGATTGCCCAAAAAAGAAAATGTCTGCTGTGTTCTGCCTGATAGAATCAAGAAGCCACTCACTAGTTGCAGGGGAAGAACAAAAAAGTTTTGGGGGTGGGAAAATGTAAAGACTGGTCCAATCAAAATAAAAAGCAAGGATAAAAAAATGAGGAAATAGGAAATCTTGCCAAGGACTTTAACAAAATAGGAAACTGGGAATGACTAACGTTATCCAGGAGAATCAAAAGAGACTAGCTTAACTTAAAGAATTTCAAACCATGGACAAGGTGAATGAGACAATGCAGATGATGGTGAACCTAAAGAGGACTTTGTAGATCATAAACCCAAAACATTTATTAGGTATCTGAAAAAATTCTCCATATGACTACACAGAAATCGTATTATGTGGTTGGTCTAATATATTTACTATTACCATTGGCTCAAAAATTTATTGTCTTTTTCTCGCCTCAAACTAGTAGCAACCGTGAAAATTTCCCAGTTTGGCTATTTGAATTTTTGAGGAATCATAACACTTAATTAAATGATTAAATAAGCCCCTTGTGAGTTCTAGGACAATAAAATACCTGTGGAAATTCCCCTATTGCTTTGTTAAATATTTCAGCTTAACAAATTTTTAAAAATATTACAGTAACAATCATAAATATAAATGAATGTCATTATTTAAAAAGTGGGTACAAATGGGAAGATTAAAACTGACAAATTTTTCTATTTCACTGAAGCAGACATTAAACCCATGAGTGTATTATCAACTCCTCCATCTTTTTTTTTTCCTTACTGAAACAAAACAGCATCTTTTCTGTCTGTCCTCATCATCAAAAGAGAATAGTTGACTATTTATGAGGTATTGGCAGCACATAATGTATGCACAAACTAAATAACAAAGGAAGCAACAAGCAGAATTATAATATGATGATAATCATAATGGCCTCACTTTTAAAGATGATAACAGTGATGATCTTGATGATGATAAAAAGATTAAAAGAACTTACTTGCTGAATTGTCCTTTTATGTCGGATTCAAAAACAATTGGAATGAGGGCTTTACAGTGTGGTGGAACTACTTGTGACAATGGACTGCTTCGTCGAAGTTCATCACAGCCCATCTACAAGAAAGATCCAGCATATTATTATTGCAGCATTTATATCACATTACAACTATACTGGTTATGTGCAACTGATGATAATTTCTAAATCAATTTCATGTCCCATTTATTTCAGACTTTTGGCAGGCAACAACACAGAGGCATTTATGTCATATTACAGTTCCAGTGTCAGTGTACAGTCAACTTAATTTGATGCCATCATCTCTAAGATTGAGTAAAGCAAATCTTTTCCCTTGGGCAAAAATTTTATAAGTGTGATAAAAACGGTTATATTAAAAGACAGTTCATAAAAAAAGTGGGATAATGGGTGTACTATAAAAAAAAAGCAATATTTTTCCATTTGTATTTCCCCCATTATGGGCATTATTATATCCACAATATAATAACACCTTATTTCACATTTGCAATGAAATGGCTGAAAGGAATGGTAGACATGCTTTGTTTTCAGAGAGAGTTTTATAACCCCAAGTCATACATAAAATTATATATACATATTTATATGAGTCCCATACAGAAAAAAAATAACAATTATGCAACAACAAGTGGAGTAAAAAGATGACAAAAATAAAGAGTCTTACTCATAATAATTCTCAGTCGGAAATGGAAGTGCCAGACATTTTTCTGTGTTTCAGAAGAAGCCATGTTTAGGATTCCTAATTTAATTGGATTGAGGGAGGGATATTTAGCCTTCATCCAGGCAAGGCAACAACCTTGCCCAAGTGAAAAACGCAACTGCTTGGTTTGACTCCTGGAAGCTGACTGACTGTAAGATTTACCACAGTCATCACTTTATTAAGTGGTGTCTCTAAATGATAGTCATGTGACCAACATGACTTCACCTTTTGTATCCCTACAGGTGTTAACAAGAAATACATCACTGTAGAATGGCAATACTGAAATATGATAATGATTAACAAAAAGTCAGATAAACTGATTTATTGTTTCATTCTCATCAGAACACTGTGCCTGGTTTTATGGCATGGACATGTTCTCAGTGCTGAGCAGAGCTAATTCCAAGTATTATCTGAAAGATTTGGAATCATTGTACAACCAATCATTTCTCTTTAAGCAGAAGGTGAGGTTCGTGGGTGTTCTTTCGGATAATTAGTCTTCAAGTTATATTTTCTTGCATCTTGGACTATATATATATATATATATATATATATATATATATATCATCATGGAAATCCGGTTGAACTCTCTTGAGAAAGGTTTTTTTTAAAAACAGTGACTCCTACTGCTATTAAGCATTACTCTTCTAGTATGAATTGAGTTCTCTGAGCCACTGGCATATTTCGTATAGAGAAAAATGTTAAAATTACCTTCCTTTCTGCCATGCGATGATGGACTAGAGTTAAGATCTGACTGATTTAACATCAGTCAGGTTTCAATCCTGGCAGGAAACAACTGGATGGCTAGCCACACAGAGGAGCTGTGATACAGTATAAACAGTCTGTCTGTGGATGACTATATATATATATATATATATATATATATATATATATATATATATATATATATATATATATATATATAAAAAGTGAACATAAAGTCAACACTTAGAGGCAACAGACTGTTTCATGCTATATGCAATCGTCAGGCCACGTGTGTTGTTATTTTTCTCGGCTATTTATACATATACGGGTCAGTGGTGCTTGTGGGTAGTCTATTATGGTGGTTATTTTACCGGAAGTCATTTATTTATTTATTTGGGTTAAATTATTTTGCTTGTTTTTATTTATTTTTATTTTTTGTTTCTTATTTATTTATTTATTTATTTATTTTTTAATCGCTGTTTTTATTAACGTAGTAAAAATTTGTTTATATCACTTATTTAATAGTTTTGTTTTGGTTTGAGAATTTAATTAAAGCTATTTGTTCGGTTTTGGGGTTGATTGTTGTAGTTTATTCTAACTATTATTTTGGCAGGAACAGTTTTTAATTTGTGTTTATTTTGGGTTGATTATCTTTATTTGTTTTTTCTAACGGTAACTTTATCGGTATTGGTTTGTTTATTTATTTACTTGGATGAATTTACCCACAATGCACCACTGACCCGTATATGTATGAGTAAAAGTTTATCCCTTAGTTGATTGATGTTATTGCTTATATTTTTCAATTTTTTTCCTTTTTATACACTTATCATTGATGTGTGCATATATATATATATATTTAAAAAAAGAAATAAAAATCGCTATACAAATTTTTGTCCTCAATCTTTGTTTTGATGATAAACCAATTTAACTGTATTTTTTCCATTGTTATTTTACAGTATTATCATTTTTACAATAATATATTTTTTGTTACTGCTTTTTTTTTCACTAATAAAACAAATCTATTAATGAATTTTGATAACTGAATTTTTTTTCATCAGATTGCATGATCTGATTTTTGTGTTAATATAGAACTTTTTAAAAATCTGTTACTATTGAAATAACAATAAAGTTCAATAAAAAAGCATTGAAATATGGAATTAATACATTATATTTCTACAAAAACAGCGTGCAAAGCATTAAATCATTTTCTATATTTTTGCTCAGCTTGGCTTAGTATGTTCTTAAGTCAAGTAAAGCTAAGAAGGTTACATAGCACCAATGTTGCCAGATGCACATGTTTTACCTGTCCATGTTGAATACCTGTAATTGATTTACTGGTATTTTACCTGCACTCACAGACCAACCACTGGGCACGTATGCAACTGTTTAATGCATCAAAATGCAATCTACAATCTTTTGAAATTATTGCAAGTATTGTGAATTGTTAACACATAGAAAATGATTGGTTGGTTCACTGCCAATGAAGAGAGATGGAAAACCCAAAAGTACCAGAATCAAAGACTGAATCGCAATGAGCAGGACATGGACAACACTTCCACATGGGAAAACCACATGTATGGGATGAACACAGCCGAGGCACCAGAAACACAAACAAGGATGAATAAATCTGAAACGAGACTGGGTAACATGAACAAAAATCCTTGGTAATGCATGACAATCTCATGTGACACAAGATATGTTTCATGTAGTGCACTTGAATATGTATACATGGTTGAAAGCTAAAAATTGCTCAGTCCCCACAACCATTGGTTGCACTGGCATCAATATTGCTATTGATCCCCCTCTTTAGTGCAATGAGGGGGATACAGCCACTGACAACCCTATGCTGGGATCATGCACCTCTCAATATTTTCTCAGTTGCACTCTGTCTGCAGACAAAGGCACAACTGAGTTTCACTCTGCCCGAGGACAGAGACACGACTGAGATGTGACAATAGCGAGCAGGACAGCAGACTGCCAAGCTCTGCCTTTTCCCAGAAAATGTACCCTACTTTTATAGAGCTTAAAACTTGGCTAGCAAAAGAAATCATTTGCATAGCTCAACACCGGTCAGCACACCATCCTGATTATCATCTGGGGGAGCTAGTAAACACTTTCTTTCTTCATAGTCAGACATTCCGGGGTTCACACCAGCTCTGTTCTGACAGGGTAGCCATGTGCTGTCCGTCTGCAGAGACAGTGCAGTAAATGTTGTCTCTTTGACTGACGGGGTAGGTACTGTTATCAGGAGTGACTGGCTGCTCTGTTTGCATTTCATGTCTGCTACAGAAAAGGAATCAGTAAACACAAATTAATGAATAAAATTTAATGAAATTTACTTACCTCAGCCACCACGAATATATTAATCTCTAAGTTATTGATGATGATCAAATTTTTTGTGTTAACTGATTTAGTGCAAACTTTTCCAAAATCTATCTTTAGTGGACCTGCATTCAAAAATAAAAAAATAAAAATAGGAAGTGATTATGAGGATTAAACTAAAGACTAAAAATGGATTACATATTGTGTATTATCCTACTTGACTCCTTAAGCCGATATAAAGACATGCATTTTCTTCATAGTCTCTTTCCTCTTTTACAGCCTTTCAAATCTGGCTATAAGATGTAGTTGCATATGGGCAAAAAAGTGTCCCCCACTGGGATACATTCATCCTCAGGGTTCTCACTCTTGACTTTGAAGTCTTTCACACATATGTCTATCATATAGACCTACACAATTACACACATCATCGAGTTTAAATATTTTCTATGTAAATTGTCTTAAGTGTTTTCTTTTATTGTAATTGTAATCTCTTTTTATCAGTACAGGAAATTAGTTGCTTGTTTATATTACCATACTCAATTTTTACTTGGACTCACATTGAGTTCATCAATATTGTTTGTGGGATAAATTTTCCAGGAGATCATTACTATTTACTTTCCAAAGTGTTGATTCATGCAACATCCTAGTGACCAAATACTTACCCAGTCATGCCAGCAATCCTGTGACAATATATAATCTATAAATGAAAGTTGTAAACAGAGTTTGCCATAATTCATAACCACTGAAAATGCCTGCTGGATAATTTGAAAAGTCATTAATATTTCAAGATTTTTTTCAGTCTGTTGAACTCTTCTGTATTGTTGATGTCCTTACAATGTTTTGTTGAATCTATTCCTTAGCTTCCTTCAGGTGTATAGTTTGAAAGAAAAAAAAGAGGGGATGCTTTTTCATTATAGTAATATAACAATAGGATTGTCTTTTTGAAGCAAGACTTCCTTTTTGATTTTCAATGCACATCATACAAAAATAAAAATATGAGTATGGTAATATAAACAAACAAGTAAAAATTGCCACAAATCTATGTTATAAAAGAGCTGTTTCTCTGTCTGTGTATGCTGTTTCATGCACATATGTAAATATATATACCTATGTATTGTGTGTGAATGCTTGCAACATTTAATGCACACACACACACACACACACGTACACAACTGACTTTAAAATAAGACATTCGAATAATAGATTCATTTCCTACTTAACTTGGTTAACCTCTACTGTAGGCTTAGCAATATAATCATGGACTTCGAGAAAAGAATAAAGAAAAAAAGAAAAACAGCTTAAAAAAAGTGTTTAATGTCTAACATACACCATGTTTACATGTGTGTATGGCTGTGAAATAAAATTAATCTTTTTCTCTCTCTTACCTACTACAAGGGAGTTTTTGTATCTTATCAATAATGTCTACTGCTATGAATTGGAACAATTATATTGAATTAAATTCTAGGTTTTCTGCCAGGAAATTTGGTTCGCTATGCCATTCTAGATAATTTTTTCACACTGAATCTATTTGACACTTTTACAAGTCTACCATTCATCTATCCATTGCATTTTGCTGATTTGCTGCTTCTACTATGTATTTAGAGATTCTTGATCAAATCCAAAAGTGAATATTGAAATAAACAAAAGACTGTTTTAAACAATGTCCGTAGAAAAATTTTAGATATTTAGACTCTCAGTGAAAATTTTGATAGAGTAAATTGTGATTATAGAGCATAACAGATCAATGGACTGTATGGAAAAAAAGGTAGTCTGACTGTGTAACATGTCAAGAGACGAGTATATTGTGAGTGCCTACACAATTGCCCACAAACGATATTACATCAGCCAGTTTATATGCAAAAATACATTCCCAGAATTCAACTCTTGGCATATGTGATGAAATACATAGTATACACAAAAAACTTATGTGTGACCACAAAATATCAATTGTATTATTTACAAACCTTATAAAAAAAATAAAATTATGATAAGACATCAGTCAGTGTTTAAACATTTCTCATCAAATAAAAAAGGGTATTTTTTGGATGAGACAGTCAATTTATTACCATTTATTACCAAACTTCAGAATAAATAAAATAGTTATTTACATTATTTAGAGTTGAACTAATGTCCTCATCATTGTTGTTATTATCACTCTATTTTGGTGGTCTTCAAGTGTCTGTAGTGGAACAAGAACAATCTCTCCCCAAGACTAAGTAAAGTATTCTGTTTGGAATTCTCTAAAGTTTACCTTGATCAAGAGACACTTGAAGAAGGTCAGAGGGTATAATGGCCAAAATGTTGTAAAACTAACATCAAAGATGAGGATATTTGTCTGACTATAAATAATAATAAATCCTTCTCCAAGACAGAAAGAAAATTGTGTCTAGATCCTGCATGGCATTCAAATTGTCAACATAAAAAACGTCAATGGAAGAAAAGCAAAATTCAGTGGGATTCAAAAATATATTATTTTAAATCATGATTCTACAAAAAGACTTACTGTGCAGCTATCAATTGTTTGGTAAAATAAAATTTATGGAACATTTTTGCACAAAAAGATTTTTAGTCATTAAACAACAAGCAGATATATAAATATTTCAAACAAGCAATTCTTTGTCAACCAACATTTTTCCTTTGTTTACATTTTTATAAGATAGATTCCTTTTAATTAAAGAATAAATGGGTATATACATTTTTAATTAAGGTACAAACATTTGCAAAATTAACAAAAATATTTTTTTTAAAATATGCATATATCAAGGCACAGTATTTGTAAATAAAAATAGGTAACTCTGTAAAAGTTAGGAATTGATTTGATACAATATCGATATTATGAAGAAGACCACCCTTCTAAATAAAAAAATCCAACAAATTTTGGCAAATGAGTTCCAGTGAATCCTAATCCACAAAATTTATTCTCGGGAAAAATATTCCCTATTGTCTTTTAGAAGTGGATTAGTCTATTTAATTAATCTTTGAATTTTTCCAATTTGAATGGTACATTGGAATAGAAAAGCGATTTTATTGAACAAGGGAGATAACCTATGATTATGTTGCTTGATGATACTTATTTTCATGTTCTATGATGCAGCAAACGATCACAGAGATGGGATTCAAGGTTCTTCAACATGTGATGCAGTTTTCAGATCTCCCGCCTTTGATACTTATTTTAACTTGTCAATAAACCACCAGACGCAAACTGATATTCTGAAACTGGATTCTTGGTCAGATATTAAAAAGAACAAAGAGTTTTTAGTTACTTGCCAATCTGCCTGAGGTTTAACTGTGTCAAGCCAGTAAATTGTGTTCTTATGCAGAAAGAAATAAAAATAATCTACTTAGGAGCATCAGACCCCAAGGGGATCAATGATTAAAATTGGACAAAGAGTTTTGCTAAATAATCTAATTGAGAATTTCTGAGAATTAAATAAAAATCATTAAAAAAGAAAAGGAGAAAGATAAAAAAGAAAAAGAAAGCAAAGAAAGAATTGAGAAGATATAAAACTTTGTTTAACAGTATATTATGAAAGAGACATGATAACTATCAACTCTGCCCAAACATTTTCTGACAGCCAGAATATTTGTGGTTACTTCAGGCCAGTTATTCTTCTAATTTTCTTGTCTGTGAATCTCCAAAAAAACAGAATAATAAGAAGAGACTATGTTCATAATGGATATGTTTAACAAATGTACCCACAAAAAATGAAGAAAAAAAACGGTGTGTTAAAAGTTTTTCTTTTGATATACTTCCTGAGAAATATTTATTGTTTGAAAAAGGAAGGTATTTTTAGAATTTTAATAAAAAAACAAACATATGAATCTGGATTCATGTATTCTCATTTTTCTCAAGAATTGGCAAAAGAATTACATCATGATCAATGGTTTGAGCCTATTGCTGATCATACCAGATTATGCAAACCCTCCCAAAAACTGTAACTAAGATCTGCCCTGCTCTGTGGGTGGTGAACAAGTGTCTGTGACAAGGATTGTGTAATCACCCTTCCAGATGGGTATGTCTAGAAAACCAAAGAAGTCAGGCATTATATATATATATATATATATATATATATATATATATATATATATATATATATATATTTATTTATTTACAAAGGTGCAAAGGTTTTGTGCCTCACTATGGAATGAATCTATGATATGGCCACCCACCTACTCTACTACATTTTAATTTTCATAGGGTAGTATTCATATAAAATACAAATTTTATTTTAACCTGATTATGTACAATGATGGATCATATACAGTATATGTGAACAATTCAACTAGAAAAACTGAACATCATTACAATGTATCAAATTAAAAATTAGAGACGTGTCCTAATAGATTATTCTATCTTAAATAAACCAACAATGTTTTGTAGCAATTTGTAACATCAGTTTGAGATTTTTCTTGTTAAATAGTTGAAGAATTTTAACACATCCAACATTATAGATAAAAAAAAATATAGGGAACTTTATATAGTATTTTTTGAGGGACTTAACTTGAGAAAAACAAATTCACGGATTCAGACAAAAAAAACCCCTCCAGAATGAAGCTAAAATCCATGAAAATTTTCATTTTTAATAGTCAGCTGTGCTTAGTTTAATTTGCAATTTATATAAATGTTGGTAGCAAAAAGCAAGTGTTGATAGGATAGTGAGGGTCACAAATCACTGCTGGGACACCCAATCAGCTTGTCATAGTCAGTAGTGCTCACTGGACCTATATGAACATGTATATTACTACAAATGTTATATGTAGTGGGTATATGAGTTTTAGTTGATATTTCTGTTATTTTAAACAATTAAATTATTGAGACACCCTACTAAAGAAAGTGAGCTTCCAGACAGGAAGTGAATGTGTATTTCCTATCAGAAACCCAACCAATTAACCTATGTGAAACTAATATGATGAAGTAAATTTCAATGATGTAATTAAGAAATGAACATCTCTCATTGAGATATTTTGAAGTCAATATCTGCTAGCATTATTTTCAAACTTAAAACAAAATAATTTTTATGCAATTAACAGTTTATATGACATTATTTCTTATTAATATAAATGTTACACATTGTGAGTTACATATTTTATTTGACATCCCTGTTAATTTAAACAATGAAATTAATTTTAAATAGTCACAAGATTGAGAAATCTTCTTAAAGGAAGTATGTTTCCCAACATTTCTCATTACTACAAAGATAAGATTTACTTGAGAAAGTAGGACTTCTTGATCTCTCTGCCGGTTGCCATTAATTTCATAGTTTAAAATAACAGGGATGGTTACTGAAGCATGTGTACCCACAAAATACAACCCGGAAATACCGGCTACAATGGTGTGGTCATCTAGCTACTGCCATGCCATTATATGGGACAGGTTTTTGCCCCATCCTGTATAAGTTTTATAGGAATTAATGGATTTATTTTTAATACAAAATATTCATTACTTCAAACTAGTTGCCCTAGTAGGCTTATGTGTTTGGAAAAAGAGAAACTAATCAATACACACACACACACACACACACATATATATATATATATATATATATATATATATACATATATATATATATATATATATATATATATATATATATATAAAAAGATATAAATAATTTACATTTAATGAAACTCAGTACCCCATATGGATGGCCATTTTACCTCCTGAGGAAAAATTCTTTACTGAGGCTTTTTAACACAAAAAATTTTTTAAGATAGAAAATAAAAACCTATCATATTTAACAATATATATATATATATATATATATATATATATATATTTAGTCTAGGCTGTTGCGTCTGAGTGTTGACTTCAATGTCCAATCAGCAGTTTGAACAATACAGAAACCCTCAGTCACAATGAACCGTGACATCATGCTAGCACAACCATCAACAATTTCTAACAGAAAAATCTATGCAATTTATCTCATGAGGAGTTAATCGATCCATGGTTTAGATTTCTGGTCCTTTGCAGAACTGCCAAATGCTGAGACCATTTCCTCAGAACAATAATGTTAAAAAATCACCTACCTGAAAAATGGATCATGATAAGATTTGAGCCAGTGACTCATGGTCAAAAAGTATACTAGCCACTCAAGCACATGAACTGATATATATATATGTGTGTGTGTGTATATATATATATATATATATATATACAAACACATACAATAATCAGCATGTGAGTTGATTAAGTAAGTCTTGTTGAATTTGCAAATCTGGAATGCTTTCATTTCTAAATAATTAAAGCAGCTGTCTGGCACCAGTCCCTTCCGAATGGAATGGTGTGCCAGATAATTAATCTATTTAGCTTTAAATTATCAAAGTGTTCTATTGATGATAGTTAGAAAAGAAAAATCAATACTTGTGTTAATCAATATCACTGCTTGATAGAAAAACAAAGACAGGTAGGTAGGTAGGTAGGTAGGTAGGTATATATATATATATATATATATATATATATATATATATATATGTGTGTGTGTATATGTGTGTGTGTGTGCATGTGCATGTTAAACTATATATATATATATATATATATATATATATATATATATATATATATATATACAGGGTGTATCAAAATATTTTTTAAAATGTTGGAGACAGGTTCCTCAGACTGAAACAAGGAGAAGAGTACATATAAACAAAATGTCTGCCAATACTTTATCTTTGAACTATTAAGTTTAAAGTTTAACATGTATACATATAATATATATATATATGTGTGTCTGTGTGTCTGTGTGTATATATATATATATATATATATATATATATATATATATATATATATATATATATATATATACATGTTGGCGCTGATAAACTGTGGTAGTTGAGGTCAAAACTTCTATCCATGGTTTAGATAGTCCACAGTTTAGGTCAAAAGTGAGCCACGATCTCAGGACTGTCAGTTTAGACCACCATAACAAAACTTGTCAAATCCATGAAGTTATCCATGAAAATGAGTAACACAGTGGCTAAGGAAACAAAATGCGTCTTCTATATTAAGAGTTGAATATTGGCAGTTTTGAAAATACATTTATTAAAATTATCCTTTAATTTCGCATAAAAATCTGCACCAATGTGAATAAATTTAAAAGATGACTGTTTAAAATGATTCCAGTTATAAAGCACCATGTCAATATATTCATGTCAATAGATCGATGACAGAAAAAGACTAAATTACCAATTAGAATTCGGAATTGGTGGTGAAAGAAAAAACAATTTACTAATTTTCTTCCCAGTCAGGCAAATGTTTCCCTGAATGTCTACACAGGGCAGGACATAGACAACCTGAGAGAAAATACAAGTTGGCCCTATTTGGGGAAACAATTGACTGACTGGGAAGAAAATTAGTAAATTTTTTTTCTCCCCCTGCCAATTGCCAATTTAAGTTGGTAATTTATTCTTAGTTTCAGTTGTTGGTAAAAATTTTTCTTAACTATTTCGTTTTATTATATTGCCGCCAATTTTGTTTCTGAAGAAGAGTCAGTTGAAAGGCACCTAAAATCTTAACTCTTCATCATGAGACTTTTGTATCTATTTTAATAATAAAATTATGGTCCTTAGAACTATTTTGTCCTGGTGTGGCAACAATTAAAAGCTGTTTAAATATATATATATATATATATATATATATATATATATATATATAATATATATATATATATATAAAATATAAAAGGGAAGAACAATGAGATTTATAATTCAGAATTCTTAGCATTTATTTTTATTTTTAAACAACAGTGCTCAATACAACAGTAGAGCATAATATTATAAATTTTTCTTTAAAAATATACAATCATCGCAACACTAAAATTCCCAGGCTTCAAAACTGAAACTTAAATTTAAATACAATCATACGAATTAAAATTACAAATTAATTTATAAGTCCAGACAAAATTGATATTTTGATATGTTGGGGTTAAGGAAAATTCCAACTTTTTTATTTTAGGGGTGTTAAGATTTAACTTATTTAGAAAACTCATGGAACAGAACTTTGTTTGATTGAATTGAAATTGAAGGTTCAGTTTTGAAATGTGAATTTTGGTTTTGCAAGGGTTATATATTTAAAAGAAAACAATTATAATATATATATATATATATATATATATATATATATATATATATATATATATATATATATATATATATATATATATATATATATATATATATATATATATATATATATATATATATATATAAAACAGAAGGTCAATTGAATATACGACCTTGGTTTCGACCTCACGGTCTCATCAGGCAATATTTTTCAAATGACTATGTTAACACTTTATTTACAAAAAAACACTAATACATTACAATTTTTCAAAAATAAAGAAACAGGTGTATGACAGTCATGTTGATTATATTAGAAAGGAAGAGGGTATGGAATAGAAAGAAGTAGAAAAAAGACGAGTAAAGAAAAGAAGGGTGAAGAAAAGAAAAGAACAGGAATGCAAGTGTATTATAAATGTATCTAGAAAAGAAGAAGAAAAGCAAATGTAATGTAAATGTCAGGTAGGATTGGGAGGCAAAAGTATCTTAAGAATAACCATCAGGTTTTAGATTAGATTTTTTTATCCAGCCTCATATTCACTCAATAAAAACTTTCTGATATGAAGGCAAAGACAAAAAATTTCGGATTTTTGGTTTAAAAGATTTTCTGGATCCAGAAGTGTCATAATCACTAATTCCTTATGTTTGCACAGTTTTTAAATGCAACTATGGCTGTTATATAGTTTTACCTTTTTGAAAAAAACATAAGGCAGAAAATTTTAAAAAGTTAAAACCATATAACAACCACCGACACCTAGCTTATTACTAACCATTTGTTTGAATGGGTTGGTTTTACCAAATGGTTAGTAATAAGCTACAACAAAAATTTCTGGCTTTAATTGAAAAACATTTTCCTAGTAATAATAAACTGTGCAAGATTTTTAATAGAAATACTCTAAAATTAAAAAAAATTTAGAAAGGATTATAAAAAGCATAATAATAAAATCTTGGACAAATACTCATGCTGAAATCAAACAAATAAAGATCCTAAAATAAGATTAAATGATAATAATGAAAAATTATGTAATTGTACAAGTCCTGAAAATTGTATTCTGAATAAAGAATGCCCCACAGAATCCGTAGTTTACCAATGCATAATTTCATCCATTGAGAATCCAAATGTAAAAACATATATAGGATCAACAAAAAATGAATTTAAAATAAAGTGGAGACAACAGCAAAGTTCCTTCAATAATATTAAGTACTGAAACCAGACATCATTTTGCTTTTAATTTAATATAAAATGCATAAAAAAATGTGGTTAGACAGTCCTAAGAAGTATATATAAATAAATATACATATGCATATGTTCGAAGCACTTTGAATGTAGGTATATATATATATTTATTAATATATATATATATATGTATATATATATATATATATATATATATATATATATATATATATATATATATATATATACATCTCTGATAAGTAAATTATTTTTTGAACATAAATTCTTAGCTGATTAATTCATTAATATCTTTTATAATCTTCATTTTATGTAACTATGGCTGGATAGAAATCCTTCCTTACCAATATTGAGCAGATGTAGCTCAGAAGGTGATAGCTCTTTTGCGCAGTCCAGTTTTTCTTTCGGGGTTGTTGGAATAGCATTCAAACCTTGACTTACCTAAAATATTACAAAAACATTAAAAACACTGATTAGTAAATAAGCTTTTACATGCTTTGTTCTCAAAGAGTTTTATAAAGTTACATCATACAAAAAATTATATATACATATTTACACACGTATCCCACACAGAGGAACTATTGCATATCTACATAACAAGCAGAGGGTAGAGGAATGGAAAAGTTAGGGTCTAACATATAATATGGAGGTTCTTCTGTTTTTCTGGAGAAGCTGTATATTTCCAAAGGGACATGGTGCCATGGGCTTGTAAGCTGTATTAGGTGGCAGCCGGCTGCTCCAGGCAGAAACCTGGGCAGAAAGAACAACTCAAATGTCTTTTCTCCATGAAGCTGACTGATGTACTGCTACTTTTGTCACTGTGTGAAATGACATCATTAAGCAACCATCACTTGATTCAAGTAACCTCATTTCCACCAAAGGGAGATGATCAATTTTTGTATCACTATATGACATTTAAACAGAACAGGCTCCTTTTTTTTTTTCTTTTTTTTTTTATCTAAACAGGCACTGCTTTGTTTGAGAGATTTGCTTATACTATGAAATATTATGAGAGAAATTATATTAAAATGGTTTGATTGGGTAAAAGATATTTATGTAGGTAGGTTGAGGGAGTGAAAATTTGACTATGTCAAAATATTCAATTTGTCCACAAAGAAAAAAAAAGGAAAAGAAAGAAATTACTTAAAGTGCAAATGCAACATTTTTTCTGTTATACTCAAGAAAACTGTTGACGTACTTTTACAAATCTTTTTTTAAGTCAATTTTCTTCATTTGAATACAGTTTTCATACGACTAGAAAAACCTAAACAAAGGAAGATTTCTAAATCATGCCTCTACCTATTTGATACATTATCTTTTATTTACACATGAAGCACAGACAAATTATTAAACACAAGACATGAAAAATGATGGGTTTATTTGAACATGTCTTATTTGAAGTGTATAAGATTTCTTATAACAATGCTGATGATAAGTATTTACTCTTGTCTTAATAAGAAGTCTGATAATCAAGTAAAACTAGTAGTTACTCTCAAAAATGAACTCCAATCAGTTGTTAACTGGGACAAGAAATGGCTTGTAAATTCTAACATCTCCAAAATGAAACTGCTATACCTTAATAATCGTAGAGAACCATTTCTACCCTTTATCAGCATGGCTGATGCTAACCTCCAGGTGATTTCACTAATTGTACTTTCTTAGTTTCATGTTTTTTACTGATATGAAGTGGAGAAATTATACTAAATCAATTTCTAGCTCTGCAACTAGGAAAGTTAGTACAATGTGTTGTTCTAAAAAGTTTTTTCTGGTCAGTATCCACCATATTGCATATTTATAAATCTACCATCCATCCATCCATGAATTGAATATTGCTGCTATATCTGGCCTCATGTGCCTGTTATCTATCTATCTATCTATCTATCTCTCTCTCTCTCTCTCTCTCTATATATATATATATATATATATATATATATATATTGAAATTCTCAACAAAAATTCAAAGAAGGGTCAGTAGTATTATCAGTCCTGACTTAGCTTTTCAACTTCAGTCACTTTCCCATTGCCATGACATGACATCTCTTTGTCTTTTCTATCAATATTTTCATTGAAGTTCTTCTAATGAGTTTTCCTTCTTGGTATTTCAGTTTTTAAATTTAAGCATACTACTAAATTAGCAAATAGGTCTCATCATTTTACTGTTGTAATAAATAAATGCAGCCATAATATCTATTCTAATAGTTTCTTTTCTCACAGAATCACAGAATTTTTCAGATAGATAGCTAGATAGATTATTGTCTTGTTTTGGGTGATTAAAAAACAAAATAAAAAATAAAAAAGAAGCTATAAATGCCTCAAGACTGAAATCTTAGCAGAGTAATAATTTGATATATGTTTTAAATGCTGTATAAATTTTAACTTACTCTGTAAATTTTAATTACATTTTATTTCAAGTTGGTATCCATTCATTAGGGATATTGTATCTTCATAATAATGTTCTATAAAAAGATGTTTTTATTTTGTCTAAAGCTGATTATTTAACAGAATATTTTTTAAGATGTCCAATATAACTTGCATCTAATTTGCTCATTTTGCCAATTGTAATTTTATAAAGAAGTTTAAAAGTTTTTCTTCACAATCACGGCAATATTCTGGCATGTTATACTTTTTATGCTATTGTTCACTTAGTACAAGGCCCCAGATCCTCTCAAGGTAGAGGGATAATGAATAGGGTTGTTTTATGAATGTAAAAATTGCAGATTATGATGATATGTAGGATTGATAATGGTATACCGTAGACTTGAATAGAGATGCATTCACTTGGGAACTTTTGGCTCTGTGGCTCTTGGGAAGCTGCTGTTCAAATGGAATTTCCTTATTACCAATAGAATACAAAGGGAATAAGGGTCGTTTGACCATATATACATGTAACATAGAATCAGGTCAACTGGACAAGAGACCCAGAGTTAGTTGTGCATGGGGCCTTGTGGGTGATGAATTATGAGTTATGTCCTCTTCCACAATTGGCTGTTGAAAGAGAACATTCTATTTAGAGTAGGTGGCACTGACAAAATTTGCATATGAACGATACTAGGCAGGTATTAGGCAATAGTCAGTGTGGGGTCTGGAACTGAGAGATATATAGCACCCACTTTTTCTCAGTTGAGGAGAAGTGCTCTTGATGTGTGAGCCATCAGAGTTTTGTGATGAAGTGCTGAGTTGGAGTTTCGTCTTGGAGTGGGAGTTTACATTTACTTAGAAAACCAGACAAAATTATATACTAATATAGTGGGTCTTAACTGTGAAACTCTGAACTGATGGAACTAGAGAATGTCACTTGTTATAACATTTTCCATGGAAATAGTGATAGAATAACTATAGGCCTGCATCTGAGAGAAAGGGATTGTAGTGTGAAAAATAATTCATCACCCACAAGGCCACATAAATATTTTTAACACTGTCATTGCTAGAAAGTGGCAGTTGGGCAGCTCCAGCCCAGATATGGCAGCAATACTCCATTTCTGGTCAGAGCTGATTCTTGTAAAGATAGATCATGCCAGGAAGTGTCTGGTATAAAGAGCTGATTATTTTCCAGTGTTTTTAGAAAGGGATCATGTATACAAGATCCACTTGAAGTCTGGGGTGATAATTTATAGCATTTGTTAGATTTTCAAAATATACTGTAAAAAAAAATGTCAACTTCGCTTAATTCCTTATATATATTGTATACATCCCTTTAATCCCAAGCTGTATTCAAAATGCTAATTTGCTTTATATTTGAATCCATTTATAAAAGCCATCAACAAAGTAATCCTTTTATTTATTGAGATCACAAAGGCAGATTGGAAATAAGTAATAAGACAGTTATTTTTAAAAGTTTGATTTTTTTAAATGCAATATGAAAATTATTTCTGTTATGCAAGAACTGCTAAACAGGACAAGATATACAATATATGGTTGGGACATATGAATAAAAAAAACTGCATATATACAATGTCCTACTAAATTAATTTTTTAGTATTTGAAGAGGACATAGACACAAATGTTGAGCTTTATATATTCAATGTAGTAAATGTAGATGAGAATCATTAACCAAGATCAAGCACTATATGAAATACTGTGACAAATGTAGTAAACAAAATAATATGTTTATTTCATAAATTGTTTCCCTAAACAGTCATTTTTATTGGATTTAATGACATGTCAGTTTCTTGGATGCTTGATTCTATAACCTGAACTCAAGTTCTGTCGACTTGATTAGCTCAATATACTTGCGATTTAAGATCTCAGTTGAAATCATTTTAAGAGATCCAAAAAAATAACAAAACAAACTATGAGACATTAAATGGTAATATATGTAATAAAATGCAGTGTTAGACTGACATCAAGTTCTCATCAATTTACAGTTGAGCTGGCTAGATGTAGCCCTAAGTTCTATGCTAACAGTTTCTTTTCTAGCCCTTCTCACTTGTGGAATTCCCTTCTGGACCCATGCTTTCTAGAAAACTAAAGTTGGCTGGAAGGTATGGGGCCTGAAGGGAATTCTATCTGCAAAAATTTAAATGCAGTGTCAATTGCTATCTACTGTCTCTTACTCTTTCCTTTTCGTGCTCATTATTAATGTTTCTGTTCTTAATTATTCCATGCCCTGTAACTCCTTGTGTTTTAGTGGCTTTATTGCCTTGCTTGGGGTGATACCGATTAAAAAATAAAAAGAAAAAAAAGAAAATATATCCATGCAAAACATAAGAAATGTTACAGGCATAGTTACAGGCATCAAAGTTGCATCCATATGGTTCTGTGTTAAGTCTTTGGTGCTGAAGAGTCTCTTTCCCATTGATTCTTTGCCACCTGAAATAAAAAGGCAAGATGTACAAGGTATCAACATTATGATGTTTCAATTTCAATTTTTTAGATGAAATATTTTCAGTTTATTTTTTTTTTTTTTTCACTACAGTTTCTCCCATCTTAAGTTTTGTTCCTTTGTTTATTGCAACTCGCTTATTCACTACCTACAATCCTTAGCTAAATAGCAAGGATTAAAAATAACAATATGGCTCTAGCCTTGCATTTGTAGAAGTTGGGCAGAGTGAAAAGTTGGCCATGTAAAAATATTAAATTCATCATCAATAAAAGTAAATGAAAAGAAGAAAGCAGATAAAGTGTAAATTCAAAATCTTATCCAGAACTTGTTGAGGTGAATTATAAAAATGTTTTTTCTTTCTTTATTTCCTTTAGTTCAGTTTCTTCTTATGATGTATATAAGGATTTATGTTCGTGAACATTACAGACATGTTTGAGAAGAGAATAAAAATGGAGCGACTACATCAAATCAATAGCTGCATCTACTGCAAGGAAAGTTTTTCTCAGAAGAATCCATCTTGCACATTTACAAATCTACCATTCATCTTGGCATTGAATACTGCTGCTATATCTGGTCTGATGCTCTTGCTATTTATCTTGAGATTTTTTTAAAAAATCCATAGAAGGATCTGTAATGTAATCAATCCTGACTTGGCATCTTGACTTCAGTCACTTTCTCACCAATGTGACGTGGATTCGTTCTGTCTTTTATACAAATATTTTCATGGCAACTGCTCCGACAAGCTTTTATCTGATGCCCTGACTATGTTTCATTAAGCATGCTACTAGATTGGCATCTAGGTTCTAGTGTTGAAATAACTAAATGCAACTGCCACTTCTACTCCAACAGTTTCTTTTCTCTCACTTCCTCACCTGTGGAAATCCGTTCTGTTTACTTGTTTCCTGAATAACTACAATCGTTAAAAATTTAAATGCAATATCAATTACAATTTTCTATCTTCTTGAATCCTGTCCATCTTTTGTCATTTCCCCACCATTTCCTCTCACTTTAATTCCCTGTAACCTCCTGCATACTAGTGGCATTTCCATCTTGCATGGGGGTGAAATGATTAAAAAAATAAATAATATTCTATTGAGAAACAATATACAAAATAGAAAACTTTTACCTTTTGTGAATGTTTTTGTTATAGAATGATGAAAGTTCTGCTTTCAAAAAAGTCCAGTGTGTGGTGTCAGAAGAGGGACAGATAAGTTCATGTGGTCTGTCCACATCTTGGAGCCAAAAAAGAGATCAATATGTCCCACTGAGATAGCAGAAAGATGGGCCACAATTGGATGGTTTTGTGACTAATTCGGCATTCAGCAAAGCCTTAAACCCTAGTGTGTGTTAATTCACTACATAAATTTTTATGTAACAGGAAATTGTGTTGACACAAGAAGATTTCTTATTGATTGTCTCATACTTGCATCCAACTGCTACCAAGACTATCAAATAGACTCTGAAAGACTACGATTTATATTAACTGCTTGATACATTGTCCTTTTATTTATATTTCATCTGCTGACATAATAGCAGACAAAAAATGTGCACAAATATTTAGTAGAGAAATGCTCAGCTCAATTTTAAAGAGTTTTAAAGAATAAAAAATTACTAATAAATTAATAACTATACATACTATTAAACTGTATTTTCAAATGGTATCCAATCAGTAGGGATATTTAAAACTGTATTATCCTGTGTGTAGTGTTTATGGAATACCAATTACTTGTCCACCTAGTTTCTACACCTGAGTTATCATTGGGAATCAGACTTTCCATAGTGGCATGTAACTAATTATGTTACAAAGGCCAAGAAAAAGGAATCATTTGAAACTTTGAAGCAGTGTGTAAAGACATGCATGTTGTTTAAAAATTTACAAATATTTTGGGGGGAACAGTGCTCGGTATTGAAGATAGGGCATTTATAGATATAGACAATGTATACTGTTAATTTCATCTTTGAATGTGAGGTTCAAATCTTCTAAAGATCATACTGAAGAGGGAAACAGCCATCATTCAGCTCATATTTACACACTGATCTATCCATCTATCTATCTATCTATCTATCTATCTATATATAAGTGAAAATTGAAGTCAACGCTCAGAGGTCTCTCTTTCTATATATCTATATACTATCTATATATATATATATATGGATATATATATATATATATATATATATATATAAATATGAGCTGAATGGTGGCCTGTTGATTATAGATATAGACAATGTATACAGTAATTTCATCTTTGAATGAGGTTTGAATCTTCAAATTCAAAGATGAAATTAACAGCCATCATTCAGCTCATATTTATAATCATTCATCCATCCATCTATCTATCCTCTATCTATCTACCATCAGGAAAATTGGTTGTGACTATATATATATATATATATATATATATATATATATATATATATATATATATAGAGAGAGAATGATGAGAGATGATCTTTAGAGATTTGAGAGAGAAAGAGAAGAGAGAGAGAGAGAGAAAGATGAGAGAAAGAAAGAGATAGATAGATAGATAGATATATATGACAGAGAGAGAGAGATAGATAGATAGATAGATAGATAGATAGACAGAGGTAGAGGTATAGATAGATAGATAGATAGATAGATAGATAGATAGATAGATAGATAGATAGATAGATAGACAGGTAGAGGTATAGATAGATAGATAGATAGATAGATAGATAGATAGATAGATAGATAGATAGACAGGTAGAGGTATAGATAGATAGATAGATAGATAGATAGATAGATAGATAGATAGATAGATAGATAGATAGGTAGAGGTATAGATAGATAGATAGATAGATAGATAGATAGATAGGTAGAGGTATAGATAGATAGATAGCTAGCTAGCTAGATAGATAGATAGATAGATAGATGGAAAGATTAAATTTTATACTATTTTTCACCAAATACAAGAGCCAAGAACCACACAATTTAGAGGATTACTGAATGAGATTATTATAAAGACAGAAGGAAGAAGATGTGCATATTATAAGGATATATTGAATAGATATCAGCTGACCCTAGACTTGAAAAAGTCAAAATTCTAGTGATCAGGAAAGCCTCCTCTCAGAATTTCATTCCACAAAGCTACAGTTCTGAGGAAAAAGCTGCCTGAATGGAATTTCCTACTTACCAAAGAAATACAAAGGGAATGATGAAGATGATTTGTCACCTTGTATGTGACCTAACAACTCGTTGCTGAGAAGGTCTGAACTGGTGGTACAAAGGAATGTAATTCATTTGAACATTTGACATAGTAACAGTGTTAGAGTATTGAGAGTTTAGCATTGTTTTGAATGTGGAAAATGGGTTGTTATGTAGAAAATAATTCATGACACTCAAAATGGCACTAAAGGGCTGGGCAGTATCAGCCAAGATGTAACGGCAACACTCCATTCATTGTCAGATCTGATTTTTGTAAATCAGAGTATGGCAGCAGGAATTAGGTATTTTCTGGAGCAATACAAGGAACTGACCATTCAGAGTATGGCAGCAGGAATTAGGTATTTTCTGGAGAAAATTAGATTATTCTTATTTTTATTCTTTAATAATATAAATTGTTTTTAATAATTCTTTCTTAATATAAACTATCTAAATACAATTTATTGTTAATCTTGTTATATATCTTATTTGTAAGCATATTTTGGTATTTTTTTAGTGGGAACCAAATTTTATTATATAACTAATAATTAAAAATTTTGTTTTAGAAAACTCCTTTAGTTTAATTTTAAAAATTCATCTTTCTTATAACCCCTATTTGGGGTCTTAAGGTTAATATCCAAGTTGAATTTGTGGAGCTTCTTTCTTTTAAGACAGATAACTTTCTCACTCCCTTTACCCCTGCTTGGGCAGTCTGTCCTGCTGAGGCTTCGATATGGGTAGATTCTGTATCAATTTTTCAACTGCTGTCTTTGTTAAATTTTAAATTATAAATCTCTAGTTCTGACACTGAATACAGTCCATCTATCTAGGTTGAATAATATGGGTGTACTCAGTATCGGTTGAAATAGACTGTTGCGACCACCATTGGTCACTCCTTAGAAAGATGACGGTGACCTTCACAACCCCTGATCTCACAGATTTAAGTCCAGCAGCATGCAAGAAACTGGACAACTGGCCAAATATGGTTGAGTCCAAAACTGTACTTTGTGAGCATTAGATTAGGCAGTGCTTCCCAAACATTGAACAACATGGGGAGAAATTTTATATCTATGGTTTTCTACTCCCTCTAACCAGGGAATACTTGAACAAATCATTCCACATATTGTTAGCCCCATTTTTTCATACAAACCCAGGCTGCTCAGCCCGGTGGACTGGATCAAAGTATAGTACACTACTTTTGTCAGCTTCCAGTGTTTTGTTGAGAGAATACTCTTCGGCGTGATCCCGTTTCCACGGTCGATCTGCCCTGGAAGACGTATCGCCTCTCTGACTCCAGCTTTGTCAAGTGTTACAGTTCAGCGCGATCCCATCTCCACAGTTGATCTGTCCTGGAAATCATATCACTATGCTGACTCGGCCCCATTTAGGGACTTCACCTTCGTCAAGGGCTACACTTTGGTTGGACCCTATCTCCACGGTCGATCCTCCCTGAAAGTTGTATCACTACTTTGACTTGGCCCAGTTTAGGGATTTCCATCTTCATCAAGTGCTACCCTTCGACACGATCCCATCTCCGTGGTTGATCAGCCCGGGAAGTCGTATCACTATAATGACTTGGCCCTGTTGAGGGATTTGTCCTAACCAGCCCAACGAATCTTTGTGTGTCATCGATCAACCAGCTACTGCCACCAACAATTCTCCAATTGTTACGATACAAACATATTTCTCCAGGAACTACACTCTTGTACATTTTGGATAAATAAAAATCGACGTTTATTATTTTTAAACCGCTGCCTTTGTCCCCTAATTGTCTTGGCTGTTCACACCTTTCTTCTAAAAGCTTGCTGGGGGGAAATCCTTATCACCCCCGCAACAAGACTATACCCATGAGGTAATTTTGTATTTCTTTTGTGTTTTATATATATATATATATATATATATATATATATATATATATATTAATACACTAGCAATGATACCCAGCATTAAATGGTCCATGTCCCTTTGTTTGGTTGTCCTGTTTAGATATTTCTTATTTCTTTTGCAAGATTTACATCTACTATCTACTATAAAATAGCATTAACAAAATTGTCATAATGAAATTATTTAATAGGTTTAAACATTTTGGTAGTCATTTATTTCATATATTGCATGTTACAGTTTATAATACTGGTCAGATTTTCTATAAAAAATATATGGGTTACCTCCCTTAGATCGCTCCTGCTGATAAGGATAGGAGGAGACCATTTTAAACTGATAATAGATGAGCCCAAGATTGGATATAATATGGGATTTTGAGCACCAATGGGCAGACATCAAATCCAACACGTAATAGACATGTTTTAGGTGACTCCAGACTGGAGACACCAAGAATATTGAGGAATGCTGACCCGAATAATGCAAGGACATGCAGAGAAAACAGCAGAATATGAAACACTAATCAGATAAGTGTCATCCATTTCAAACAGATATATAACTGAATTTTGTCCCCTAAGCTTTGACAGTAACTGCTAAAGGAATAGCAAGGTTTTAGCAATTTTGATCTGTTCTCTTTCATGTTATGCATTGTGTTCCTTATATAAAGAATGTTTTACAATGTTCAGTTGCCTCTCTCTTTGTTCACCAAGCCAGGACCCTGTATGGGAGGTCGTTAAATTCCTCATATTTCCTAATATATTTTCAAAATGTCAACATTGCTTAGTTCCCTTTTTACCTGATTATTTACCTTTACTCTCAAGTTGTGATCTAAATGCAATGTTGGTTACCATTTTCACAGCTGAAAATGGCTCTATTTGAATAAATCAGCAATCTAATTATAATGTCATTAATGAAACAATCCTGCAATTATAAACAACACAGAACACCAAATTAGAAATCAATTATTATTTGGCTATGCTAGCTTGGACATGTTTGTCTTTCAGTGCCTTAGTACTCATCTATGGTCCGCCATTACTATCAAGAGCAATAGTGTCAGATTTAATGATAGTTTTTCCCAGACCATGTTCATTGACATGTGTATTATGCTTCATGAGCCAAATACATAGTTTATCATGTAATGCCATCTATACCTGACTGTCCATCTGCATTCCAATGGCAGTGATTTAAGTTTTTCACTCTTGATTTCATTAGAGTTTTCCTTGGACTGCCTTCATTATGGCTATAGAGTTCCATCTACCCCAGGAAATGACTAATAAAATGCAATTATTTTTACAAATTATTTTAAGACTGAATATGAATATTATTCTTATGTAATAAGAACTACTAATTTGGGCAAGACATGTTGTTAAATACAGATAACCAAAACACATTTATTTGATGTCCAATTAAAATTAATTTTCTGAGCTTTGAGCAGACACAAATACATAGAACTTTATTTATTCGATATATATGCACATGAGTATATTTGCCAGTAAACATTCAAATCATAGTTTATTTCCTTATAATCAGTTCTTTATGGGAGATAAAAAAACAAAAACAACTTACCTGCTATAGTTGCTTTTGGGATATCTTTTATTTTCAGCATTTTTGTCTTGAAACCAATAGTCTGTGTCAGACCAAGGTCTAATTTGTTATTTGTTGAATTGAAGTTGCTTCAATAGAAGAAAAGTATTAAAGTATTAATACTTTTGAGTTTTACATCATTTGAAAGCACAAAGTGACTTAATACATCTACTGCTCATGCAGCCTGATCTCATCTACTTAATGAGATATACCATTGCTTTGTTAACAGGAACTATTACTTGATGTTAATAAGCAAATATATTTGGAATATTTTATTGGCAAATCAGGATCATTAGTCTGTTAATATATTTCTTTTGTTTCATGTTTGCTTTCATTGGATACTTTTACTTTTATAAAGATAAAAAGCAGAATTCCTTCTTGCATGTTATTGTTTAATTAATTGTTTAGATAAAAATCATAGGTTACTCATGCTGAAAATATAAATAGTATATTTGATAACTAGCAGTAGAGCTCTGTGTTGCCCGGGAATGTAACAGTAAGAGATAGATCAAGTATCGATCATCATAAAGACTGAAAAATAAAATTGAAAAGATTATTGTTTAAGGTTGACGGACACGCATGTCTTAATTATTTTTTTACGAATTGGTCAAACCCAAACTCAAACAAAAACATTGTTTTCAATCGTTATGAGTCTAGCGATTGAATAGAATTTTATTATAAACAATTGTCTTGTAAATGGAATTTTTAAAGCATTCTGAATGTAAAAATAAAGAAAAAAAGTGTGCAAGACAATAAGAAACACTACCTAAAAAAAAAAAAGTGAAGTTTTGTTGAAATTGGTTGAAAAATGTAGGAAATCTGATCCCATATATAAATGAACACACACACACACACACACACACACACACACACACACACACACACACACACACACACACACACACACAAAACAACCTGGGTTTTATAATAAGTATAACTCGATATGAGTTGTCCCCTTTCATTCTCGTGATGCCTCTTAATTGTGTTTTCAAATTGATTTTGTGCAAAAACAATTGTGTTTTTCCAATTTTGGTGCTGTCAGAACCACCGCAAAGGTAATTTTACGTAGTCCTGTGAAGTTTTGTTGAAATCGGTTGAAAAATGTAGGAAATCCAATCCAATATATAAACGTACAGACACACACACACACACTCTGCGTTTTATAATAAGTAAGATTACTACCACACACTGAGTTCTCGGCATTCACAGGCATGTGCCTGCCACTCTTCTCTGTTGTTCCTGATGATCTACAGTTCTTCAATGCTGCATTCTGTATCCTGTAGTTGTTGTTTCACAAAGGATTTTTACTGATTGACCTCTACTACTTTTGCTATGTGTTGGTTGTCACAGATGTATATCAGTTACAGTAGTGTCCTACAAATCATAATATCTGTTGCTGTATGTGTGGCGAACATGTGTCAGTACAGGCGCAAAAGAGGCCTTGGATTGCATGTGGAAATGTTTGACAACACCAGTTAAATCCAGGTTTTTCCCGTTAGCAGAGAGACAGGTTTGGCATGTCTAGATATGGGCCTCTCTGAGGCTGGTCAATATCTGCATCTTTGTAAGATGCCTCATAACAATAAAAGCTGCGGGGAAAATCAGCAGTCAGTAGTTGGTAAGAGATGGTGTCTTGTGAAGTCGGTCCCATGGGTATTTTTGTTCCGAGAGTTGCTGTGGTTTCCAAGGCAGTGTTATTTTTTGTTACCTTCCACCTCTTTCCTCTCTCTGCCTGTTACCCTTGTAATTACTGGACGAGTTAGGTGTTACCCCAACTTCAACACACTCTTGCTGTAAATTACCATAATATGGCTTATAGATTGTGCCATAGAGCTTCTTGTTTGATATGTATTAACCCCATAAGATGTTTAGGGCAATCTGGAGTATTAGTGTTTTCTCCTTAGATGATGTCAAAGAGATTGTATCATAGATAAGAACAAGAAAAAAACATAGAAACAATTCAAATGGATTTCCAAAATTGGAACAAAAGAGACACAGTAAAGGAAATGTTCAACTTCTATAAACTGGTGAGCAGTTATTCATCATGATAACCAACACAATAACAGAGCTAGCCACAAATAATGAACATTTTAGAAACTGCTGCCAAAATGATCAAGGAATACCTTTGAAAAAATTATGTTCCACCATCTTTTAAATGGTCCATTACTTACTCTTTGTACATGGGCACAGAAATTGCACTGCTCACAAAGAGTAGCAGCAAAAGATTGTACTACATCATATCTGCCTGCCTTTTTAAAATGTAATGATATGTAGATTAATCAGAAACCAAAAGAAGGAAATACCTTTAAAAAAAATCTTGGGAAAGAGAAAGAAACCCTGAAAACGAAATGATAGAAGAAGCGCAAGAAAAACCAAGGGCACAGAACTCCTTCAATACAGAAAGATGAAGGGGTATGTAGATTGACCAATTAACATTGATGGAATACACAGGCTATATAACTACTCTGATTAGGAGGAGAACAACAATTACACATGAGCATTGTATAATAACACAAAGGACTTAGGACTTCACAACAAACTTTTTGGTAGTATCTTGCATTTAATACTGACTGCAATAGAATCCAGTAAAGGTTGGAACGTTTTTATTTTTACTAGTCTCTGCTTTGTTTTTGCCAAGAATTTATTTTAATATAGCACTAGAAAACAATTTAGTAATACAAAAAAATAACTAAAAATAAACGAGGAAGAAGTGAATTTGTATTAGAGTCTGTGCAGAATGCTAAAATAAAATCACAAGGGAATTTTAAGTGTTGGAAACAATATTGCTAGAAGCTGTTTCATTGATGCCATCATACTAGATAAACTTATTGCACACACACATACACAGACAGATATATCTATATATATGACAATGTGGAAAAAGTTTTCAGACTAAAGTGATGTTTACAATGATGCAACTATGCATGCACTCAAAAGAGAGGATATACTGATAATCTTTAATTCAATAATTTTCTTTCTGAAATATATGTTTTGTCAGGCTGATTTTATTCACTTTCTTTTTGCTTATGATTTTATCACTTTTGTTACTAAGTATCTCACATTGGGATAATAGAAGATCTGTCAAGAAAGGTGAAATACACTGAAAATATTTTTATGCTCCTCCAACACTCTAATCATTTCATATTCAACGGGAAAGAAAAATGCTTGTAAAATACTTCAAAATAGGACAGTAGACCATTTTGACAAAGCCAATGAATCAAAATATATTGTTGTTCTGCCCACCAACTACCAATTGAAAAGAATTTATCTAAATTTATCATAAAATTTGTTACAACTACTTTTAAAAAAATATAAAAGACTTAATAAAACAAACTAAACTAAAACCTGGAGGAGGAATTTACTATTATCTGTAATAATTGCCACAAGAAATACATAGGAGAAAACTCAAGGAATTTAGATAAAAGATTATATGAACACAAAAGGGATCTTTTACAAAATAACAGTCAGTGAATTAGTTATACTACTCCACTGTGCCTATATATATATATATATATATAACTGAAATGCTAAAAAGATATCTTTGATTTTCATATCTTGTTTTTTCATGCCAAAACTTTCAGAATATTGCCAGTAATGACAGATTCTTAGTTATTTTCACCTTTATGGCCCTGTAGGTAACATAGCAATTATCGGGATAGAATGTGGAATTGGTAAGCTAGTCTGTTGCACTCTTTTCAACTAATACCCTTGGGAAAGATATGAGTTCGTTTCTTCTCCTCCCAGTTATGGTTTAAATAGCAGATTATACTGGACATTCTAGCCTTGGTTGGCAACCAATGTAAGTGAAGAACAACTTTATTCCAAACGGAAAGAAATATAGCAAATAAAATTTTTTTTGCAAAACCAACACCTAATAGTCAAACAAAAATATTTTCAAGTCAGAAATACTTACATTCTTTCTAATTGCATGTTTTTCTTTTTTGTAGCTTCTGACACCATGATTTTGTAATTATCTCGGTTCTTCTGAACATCTTCAGCTTCTTGGTCTGTGTACATGTAATCCTTGTCTGTGTATGTGTAACGTTTGTCCTTGTTGAACAAATTACTGCAAAAAATAAATCAAATAGAAAAAGCAAGTTTGATATTGAAACAGATTTCCTTATTCAGTTTAGGAAACAAGGCTTTTCAGCATCAGCAAAGAAAATATGTCGAATAGTGGCTACTGTAGATGATGGCATGAAACTAAAGGGGATTGATAAATTGGATGAAATGTTAGGACATTGGGCACTTCATCATGTAATGGTTAACAAGATTATCTTTCAGATCTGTTACTACTGAGTAGTGAGTTCAATACTCACTGGGTGCTCCATACCATACTCAGTAAATAAGCAAATATTTCAAGCCTGATAAGCAATGTTAGAGTTAGTCAATCAATTAAGGTGTTTGAAGGTTTACTAATTAATTTATACACTATTGTCGCTCTGGTTATTTATGAAGCAATTTTTGAAAAAAACTGTTGATATTAAAAATGTTGAATTCCATTAATTTTTAAGTATTTTGATTAGTGTCATTCAGTTGTATTATGTATGTATATATATACATAAATATATATATATATATACACACACACACACAAGGTCGGTTCAACGTACTAGCAACTCTGGCAGTAGCACGAAGAAGGGTGTCATCAAGGCCAAGGGGGCCATCATGCTGCCATGTCATATATTTGGGATATTCCAAAACTAAAGCTTACAAAAACATACTTGTGGTTGTCCATGACTCAAGACAGATTGTTTCTTTGGCTATTTTGTCAATAGAAAATGATCTTGTGAAGAAGATTAGTGTAGAATGTGTCATGAAAACATTTGCAGATCTATTGGCTAGAAAAAAATGTTTTGGGTAGGATAATGAATGATTTCTGTAGCTTAAGCATTAACATGTACATTGAAATAAACTTGTTATTCAACATTTTCAGTTTTTCTCCTTGTGAAAATTGAAAAAAAAATTATACTTGTAAGGGCATAGAAGTTCAAGTTGCTCAGAGTGCCAGCAACCCAAGGGCCATCACTATATATATATATATATATATATATATATATATTTGATGCAATGAGTAAATTTTTGCCTTTTTATATTTTTGATTTTTGCACATGCATGTTGCTTGTTTTTGATTTTGTCATTTTTAATAGGATCAGTTGGGCAACATCTGAAAAAGAAAAGAAGAGCACCATGACACAATTCACTCCCCCATAAATTTGGAAACAGCATGCTGTGCTTCTTGGCATTCATGCTGGAAGTTCCAATACAAACATTTCAGAGTATTTGGGTGTCAATCTAAGGATAGTGCAGAGGATTCTGAATGAGTTGGATGAATCTAATGGTGATTATGAAGGTACAGCAATTCAAAAAACTCACTCAGATCTTTCTGGTAAGAAAACTCCCAATTTTGTTGATGAGGGTCTCAGACTCAACACAAAGGCCTACATCAAGTGCCTTGAGGAGGTAATGCTGCCCTGGGTTAAGAGGGTGGCTGCTGGAAGATCCTATGTCAGGCAACAGGACTCTGCACCATGTCACACATACAAGAGAACCCAGTCATGGCTGTTAGACAATTTCTGCAACCACATCACCCCTTACATCTGGCCACCTAACTCTCCAGACTGCAACCCCTTTGATTATTGTGTGCAGGGAGCAGCTGAGTGAGAGACCAACAAAACCCATTGTAAGACCAAAGATGAACTGAAGGCAAGGTTTATGACAGCATTCACCTACTTAAACAAGGAGACTGTCTAGATGAGTTGCAGGAGATTCTGAAGTTGTTTGGAGGTCGTAGTTGAAGCCAGTGGTGATTTGATTGAATGAATTTACTTAGAATTTCAAGATATTTTCATGTAATTTTCTAAATATATCTGTTAAATTGAGATGTCAGTATCATTTTCATTTCTGCATAATTTAGACAACAATTTATCCATTGTACCCTGTATATGATAAGGATATAGTTTTAATATTAGCTATATTTATATGTAAAAGTGCTCAATATCACAGATAGAGCCTATGCAAATATTGAAATCAACACTAAGTGATGACAGACTGTTTCATACCTGAATGCAATTTTCAGGCCTGAAGATTGCATTGAAGCAGGAAACAGACTATTGCTGCTCAATGTCCACTTATACATCAGTAGCATTGACACAGCAAATGATCATTCAAATCAATTGTTGTTAATTATTATATTTTTAATAAGATTTTCTTAGTTTAATTTGTTTAGGTTATGAATTCATAAATGTACTCTTTATAGTTTGTGTGATCTATATTCCAGATTCTATGAGACAGTTAAACATTAAAAAATTATGGAAGATAACAAGGACCATATTAGTAACAATGATCGGAGTCAGTAAAATGGTTCAAAGAAAACAAAGATGTAAATGAAATTTCCATAGTTTGTGCTAGTTGTTGTTGTTCTGTGTGGTAGGTTATATCTTTGGAATGATTTTGAATCTTGAGTTGCTTGTTATCAGGTGAACATTGCTATTTTTTGTGATTTGGAATTCTGTTATGTTGCATGATTACGGTATAGTGTAGGTTAAGAGACTAAATATGTCTCAGAATACCTGTTCTATAATCATAAGTGATTTTCTGGTCTTGATTTAATATAGATAGCTTCTATTACTTGCAATCTTTGTTCACAAGTTGTTTTTTTTTAGTAATATGTTATTCACACCAAGCAGTCTTATATTATAACTTTTATGTTTCTGTATCATGTGGTGGTACATAGCATTTTGGTGGTAATTATGACATGTGTGTCTGTGAGAAAGAGTTGTGGTTGTATATCCTACACAAGATTTTTTTGTCATTGTCATAGATACTATATCCAACATGGCAAGTGAATTTGTAGTTAATACATGTTTTATACAGGATTTGAACTTAATGTGGTGTCATTGGTTATTATTATGTCAATAATTTGAAAGTTTTTGTAATAATGTATCCTAGATATATGTTACTATCCATTGGTTTTAAGTACAGAAGTTTGAATATCTGCAAAGTATTTTAAAAAATGATGGAAAATGTTTCACCAAAATACAAAGGCGCATTAGAATAGCAAAAGAGGCATTACAAAAAGTATTCAGAAACAAGATGATGTGGTTAGAAACAAAGAAAAGAGTGATGAATGGCTACGTAATATCAATCCAATGGAAGTGAATGCTGGACAATTTCCTTAGAGATGAAGAGAAAACCTGAGGCAAAAGAGACATAGTTCTACAGAAGGATGCTGAGAATTCCATGGATGGAGCATTTCAGCAATGAGGATTTTTAAGAAAAATGAAAACAAAAATGATACTTCTACTCAGAATATGTGACAGATAGAATCTTTAGGACATAATAAGATCATTTGACATTTACAGAACATATTGATGGCAAAGAAGGAAACAGCAAGTAACCTATATAACAAGCTTGTGTAAATGGATGGCACAACAGAGAAGGAGAGTTATAGTTAAACTGCTAAAAGTGAACAAAGGATAGGAAGTCTTGAAGGGAAAGCACACAGAAAGAGAAGATAATCATTTCTTGTTTGAGTGCACCTGATTATTATAAAACGAATTGAGGATGTTGTTCCTTCTGTGTTTGTCACCTTTAAAAGTGTTAAAAATTTTCTTTAAATAAAACTTTATTAGTCAACAATATAATCTGTAAGACCATTGTTTTTTTTTTTGTTTTTTTTATTATTATTTCATCCCAAGCAAGACAATAATGCAGGGGGTTACAGGGGGTGAAGAGAAAGAGAATGAGAAAACAGAGAATGGAGAGGATTGAGGAAAGAATGTGGGAGGAACAGGGTCCAGGAAGACAGAAGATGGCGATTGACATTGCCTTTACATTTTTCAAGATTGTAGTTATTAAGGAAGCATGAGATCAAGCAGAAGTTCCACAGGTAGAAAATGTGAGAAACCATTAGAACAGAAGTGACAGTTACATCGAGCTAGTTCAACAGTAAAACAGTGAGACCTACTTGCCAATCTAGTAGCATACTCAAATTCATATTGTTAGGGCACCAGGGAAAAAAAAACTCATCAGAACAGTCATGAAAATATTTGTAGAAGAGACAGAGGGAAGCAATGTCACATTGGTGAGGAAGTGACTGATCTTGGTCAGAATCAATTACATTACAGATACTTCTTTGAATTTTGTCAAGAATCACAAGATGTACAGCAAGAGCACCAGACCAGATATGGAAACAGTATTCAATGCATGGATGAAAGGTAGATTTATAAATGTACAAGATGGATTCTGACTAGAACAATTTCCTGGCACGTGATAGTGAACCAACTTTCCTTGCAGTAGACATAGCAATTAATTTAATATAATTACTCCACTTCATATCAGTGAAAAACATGAGGCTAAGAAGGTGTAGTGTATTGATATGTATTTGTTTAATGTTGCTTAGTTCTATGTAAAAATTATTTTAGAAGAGATTAATTTGGCTCTGTTCTTTGAATTTCATGTTATTTCTTTCGTTTTTGATAATTAGTGAAACCAATCAAAAAGCTTGGAGCCTTATCATTCTCTATCATGAATTCTGGACAGTTCCATTTTTACTTCAAGAGCAAGATTTGGCAACTCATCTTGCAACAAAAAAGAACCTATCAAAAATACAATAGGCATAACTTGTATGTTATCTTAGAACTAGTATACATATCCGAAGATATCTGGTAGAAGATCCAAAACATATGTAAATAATACTATTATTTTTATGGCTTTTTTTTATGTCTGCTTATATTTTTTTAATTTGTAATATCTTATTTTTAATTGTTTAAATAATATATCATTATAGGATAGAACAGGTTTTTTCAATACAGAATGAAAAAAAATGAAATAATTAAAATAAGTAAAAATAAATAAATCGATAAGAATAACTTACACTATTGAAATCTGGACTATATAGTCCACATGTTTGGAGTTGTTACCCCATTTCAGCTGTTGTACGCTCTGGCCTTCCTCAGGTGTATATCAATCTGGGTAACCTACAGGGAATTCTGAATTGAACCCTTAATTTAATCCATGCTTATTTCACCACCCATGTCTAGGGATATAACCTAGATCTTATTTTTAATTAGTACACAACAGTCAAAATGTGATAAAAACAACAAACATGAGGACAATAGTCTGAATATAAATAGTGTAAATAATGATATCTCCTCATCCCAGAAATTCAGACAGAGGTAAGAATAAATAAGTAAATAATCCATTATTTTTTAATATTATGTTTTAAATGTGTCTAATATCTAATTTATTACTGTTGGCAAATTTGTTGAGTTTATTTTACTATGATTTTTTTTAATATCTACCATGTCATATACACAAGTGTGAGTCAGCCCCATTTCCTTTGTATTCCAACAGTAAGAAGTAAGTTCCATTCAAACAGCTTCTTCAGAAGAGCTGCTGCTTTGTGGAACAGACTCCCAGATGGATGTTTTCTTAATCATTAAAATCTTAATCTTTTCATGTCTAGGGTTAACCATTATTTTTCCTGTATAAACCCATGCTTTTTTTTATGCTCATGCAACATCACACAGTAACCCACTACTGTGAGTGAGTCTTGAGCCTTGTTTTAAGTGAACATCAGTATTAAAAATGACCCTGAAGAAGCACACTGAGCTTCACCATTTACAAGGCCCAGGTGCCACACAGGGAAGAGGGTTACATTTGGAGGCTATTTGTGTGTATGGGAGTGGAAGTTTACCCCAGCCTTGAACAGGTTAAGACTGTAGGGATCGAGGAAACATCCTATTGGGAGTTGGTTCCACAGTTGAATATGAAATCAACTAAAACAAATTCTAGGTAAAAAAAAACATTTTGAAAAATTTCATGTTTGACCATCAAAGTGTTTGTCAAATAAAGAACTGTTAGAGGGAATGGAATTTTATAATTTATTTATAAACTGTAGTCATGACATACTAAATAATCTAATACTTCAAATTATATTCTGATAATTTAACATAAAAATTTTTTAGGCCTTGTTTAGACTTCAGGTCATTTTCCGGAGACAAAAAAAAATGGAAGAGAATTAAAACAGATAAAAAGAACAGCAAAACCAAAACAAAAACAAGAATACAAATCCACAAGCTTCCTCTTACCGATAATTGTCATTGTATTTTGAAGGTCGTATACTTTGTGCTCTGTCATTCGGAAGGGCAACCAGTGATCTATCGAATTCGGCTGAGCGGATTATTCGACCGGTTTGAAGCAATTTGGATGCACATGCTGAAGCCCTAGTGTTGCGTGGCACTTTTCCAACTTCAGAAAACTTTATATCTGTCAGAAGACCCACTTCGTTTGTGATGTAAGGTGTTATTCCTGTAACAAGCAGATTTATTTAGCCAAAATAAACAGGGAGGATGGTATCTATTTCACTTTTTAAAATTTTTTTTTGTTTTTCAATACATTATGTATGTATATATACATTTAACTTGAAGAGTTAACTACTACCTTAGTGTGTTTAGTTATTTATGATTGAGATGCTGATAAATCTAGGCATTAAAAAATCCCATGATATTGGTTGCAAGTTCGAATCTAATCAAAACTGTTTTTCTTCTAAACTTTCATATTTTTTGTTCAAAATAGCTCGATCCAAGTCATTTCCGTTTTCAGGAACCATTTGTAATCATGAATATATCATCTTAGTTACTAATGATATGTTGCAAATAAGAATGAATTTATAGTTTACTAATATATCTTACTTTTTGCACAGTAGTAGCAGCATACACAGCGGATTTGAGGAAAAATGTTCTCCATAACAATGCAAAGCCTCATACAGCAAAAGTAACTCTGGAAAAAATTTTTAGAACTGTTTTTCTTTTCTATCCAACACAACATATTCACCTGGCCTTGCACTTACAAATTATTATTATTTTTGATTCCGGCAAAACACTTTGATAGATTTATTTTACATTCAACATCATCACTTGATAAGACACCGGAGGTGTTGAAACAAAATGGCTATTTTTGTACTGATTTTATAACATATTTATGTTATAATTTTTTTTGAATAAATAATTATATCTGCTCTACTCTGTATTGAGCACTCTTTTAAGAATAGTAATTGTTGGTTATTGGAATTCATTCCATATACACCAATCATATACTTATTATATATATATATATATATATATATATATATATATATATATATATATATATATAGACTGGGTCAAATAGGGAAAATTGATAAAATTCCAATAATATTTGACATAGCAATAAGTAATACTTTTTTTTTATATTTGTAGCTGAAATGTTGGGGGTGACATATAAGACTGGGGTTCTTATATGTCTATGGTTATTAATTTTAGCATCCAAAGAGGCAACAACACAATCATTAACTTTTATAATTTGTGTCAGGGTACATTTTGTCTCTGTGTCCTCACATTACATTAGTAGAACAGCCTGAATTATTAACAATATCAGTCATTGCTATCAACTTGTTTTTATATATTACTAACTGATGTGGTTTACAGTATTAGCCATAATATTTAATTAGCATAATGACTTTTACAAGCATATTTAAATAAATACCTTGCCAAAATTCAGTTGTGAGTTACAAAACCTGAAGTTTTTGTAATAAGATTAGTTGAGTTGAATAGAAAAAAACTCTTTACAGATTTATCTAAATGCATCCAAACAATCTGTTTAATTTGATTGTCTGAAAACTTTACTGAGCAAGTATTGAATTATTTGAACAAAGGAGAAATAGATTTTTATATACAAGAATACTCATAAAAGAGAGATTTTCTCCCCCAGAGTTTACAGTTTTTGGATTTATTGTTGTAGGCTATTGCTGTTTTCCTTATTTTCAATGATATTTTTGGTGTGATGAGGTTTTTGTTTTTAATTTCCCATATATGTTTATAAAATATTGTACTGTTCATATATTTAATACTAGTGTTAGTTTATGAATCTGGTGACATAGTACTTGTGAGATCAATCCCTAAGTTTGGTAGTATGTATTTAATAATTATAAGCCCTTTAACATTTATATATACAAAAATACTCATAAAAATGTGAAATAGCAAGATGCGGAAACAATAAAATGAATATTATTTATTATCTAGTCTTTATATTGTGTTGGAGACACAAGAGACAGTAACACTGAGTAAAATTGTGAGTTTGGGGTCAAATGAAGATCAAATATGGATCAGAATGCAACAGAAAGGTAAGATAAAGAATAAGTAAGTATATACAGTCTTTCTTGTAAGTTTTTTTTATTGATATGTGTAATGAGTGTCCAGATAATTTAGTTTTAAAAATACAAGAAATGTCTGGGGTTGTCTTACTGTGAATTTTTGTTGAGTTCTAAGAGAATCTTACTATTACGCCTGAAAAAGGAAAAGGTGCTGAAATTTTTGTTGACACACATGTTAACGGCCTATCTGTGCTGACTGCTTGTCCAATAGTGAGTGTGATGTGTTTGTGTGTGTAGAGGATAAAAGCGGGATTGATTTCATTGGTTTAGAAAGAGTGAATTAATGATAATTATAATTTTTACAATTTATTATACTATATTAATTTTTATTTATTTATGGACACATCACTCATTGGCAGCTCTATTAAAATATGTCTAATAGGAAATTCATATTGACTTGGCATAATGACAAAAAAGGACTTCAGGTAAGTGATGTTGTGCTGCAAATATTGTTTAAACAGAAGATTGATAGATAAGAGAACTTCTTAGACAACATTTCTTTGTCAAGATGGATATTTGCTTAGTGGCAAAAATATAGCAAAAGCATAGTACATTATTTACATTATTTGGACTATTGTCCTCATCTTTGTTGCCATATTTATCACAACATTTCAGCTATTGTATGCTCCGGCCTTCTTCAGGTGGTTGGAATGTCGAACTGAACCCTTTATTTTACTCACTGGGGTAGACTGTTCTAGTTCCATGTGCCATGTTTAATGGATGTCAGTTATCAGTTATCTCATGTTAATTCCCCTCCCCGAGTTCTCCACTGCCTTAACCAGCTCAAGGACACATGGCACAGTGGATAAAGGCATTGGTTAAATCCAGTGACAGGACCCAGAAGTGTGAGTTCAATACCTGGTTAAGGCAGGCTATGTGTTAATTAGCAAAACTTGTATCACTAAATCATTATCTGAAAAATTAAAAAATATTTTCTGGCTTTAAATAACCTAAAAGGAGTTGATAAACCATAGAAAATAAATTAATTAATTAATCAATCATGAAAACATTTTTCACATATTGCAACAGATTTCTTGGTTGGCTATACACAGTGCTGTATTCTGATTTTCCTACCTGTATTGAACTTTGGTGGTTTCATAACTGGGTTTAATTTTGCAATGCCATGTAAATTAATTTCTATGGATAAAATGACTTTTTTCTTTATCACACAGTGAAAGCCTAATGACGACACACTTCGTTTGTCCTTCCGAGGCCAGGTTTCCTCTTCTTTTATAGCACCTTTTTCATATACTTCAAAGATTTTATTTGAGTGAAACTCTCCTGTCATGAAGAAAAAAAAAGAACAAATGAATAAAGAAAACAGCAAGAAAACAAGCTAAAACATTTATAAAATAAAAAAATATCGTTAAATATCAAAAAGATTGTGAGGGTTATATTCACTGTCATTACTTTGTTTGCCAGGATGGCCACTAGATATAGTCACCCAATAAACTGACTACTTAAATTCAAACAAATCACATGGACATTGCACACTATGACAAACTGTATAAATTTTTTTTTTTTTAATTTTTTCAAACTGTTGGAACTAAGAAATGTATCTTATTATAACATTTGCCATGAAATTAGTGACAGAGCAGTGGGATACTTGTGATATTTCTAAGCAGATCTTGTAGAGGAAGTAGAATTAGCTAGGGCACTCTCTCAGGAAAGAAGAATTTAGTATTATCTGCTAATCTCTGACCTGTAACCCTGAGGGGAGAAAGAAGAGAGCGTGATCAAGAAATACCTTGAGACATGAACCTGAGATAAAGAAGTAATTGAAGAAAAACAATAAGCAGAGCCTAGAACAAAGTTTGATAGAACATTGATATTGATGACTTATACTCCACTGGGAATACAAGTAACTAATAATAATAATAATAATAATAATAATAATGATAATAATAATAATGGCCAATATCCAGAACGTGCAAATAAACCCAATGTTGATAAAGTTAATACTCATCGATGGTTACGAGCATCTGGATTAAAGTCTGAAACTGAAGGCTTTATTCTTGCAGCGCAAGACCAGAGTCTTTTCACTAGGAATTTTCAGGCAAATATCATACATAATAATGTGGATCCAAAATGCAGGTTCTGTGACAAATACCAAGAAACAATAGACCATCTAATCTCAGGATGTTCTATACTTGCCCCAAATGAATATAAAAATCGTCACGATAGAGTGGGGCAATACTTACACTGGACAATGTGCAAACACTTTGGAAAATGTGTAAGCAAACACTGGTATGAACATCGGCCAGCGCCGGTTACAGAAATAGAAGATGTCACCATTCTATGGGATTATACCATCCACACAGACAGAAAAATTGAAGCAAATAGGCCGGACATTATTGTCAAAAACCAGAAAGAAAAAAAACTTGCCTACTAATTGATATGGCTTCCCAGCGGATTGTAACATAGCAACCAAGGAATTTGAAAAACTATCAAAATACAAAGACCTGGAAATTGAAATAGAAAAAATGTGAAATTGAAAACAAGAATAATACCAGTGGTAATAGGGTGCACTTGGAATTATAAAAATGGAACAAAACAACACATTGAAAGAATCCCTGAAACCCCAGCTTAAGAGACATACAGAAAATTGTCTTATTAAGTACAGCACACACACTAAGGAGAACTTTGTCTATGTAACGCTAGCAACTTCATCGGAGATAAAAAAAAAAAAAAATTAACATGAAATGTGGCCATAACAACACACCACGACCTGCCTTAGGTCTTTCCGCAGACTTGGTAGGTAGTGTGTCCATAGCAGAAATAATAATAATAATAATGATAATAATAATAATGATAATAATTATAATAATAAGTTGCATGCAAATTCATACTGGCTGTGTTTCATTCATTTTGACACATTGATTAGCAGTACAGCCATTTTCTCAGGACAATAATTTTTTGTAGATTTTTAATGTTTTTATACTTGCATACAATTTTTAAACATAACTTGAAGACAGGCACTGTGAAAATATTGTTGAACATTGTCAAATACTGTCTTTTTTTCCTTTTCTTAAATCACACTCTTCTCTACATGTTGAAAAATATTGAAAGAGTTACAGCAATCATTTAGTTTAATAATAATAATAACAAAAAAATCGCAGGTGACATAAATTAATTTCTAAAGCATTTCTATTGTAAATTCAAAAGTTATGTGCAGTTATTGTTAAAATTTTTTCCTTATATTAAATAATAAAGTCACACGTGACATAAACAGCTCGCATAAAAGGGATACATAATTTATTTCTGTAGTAAAGTTACAGTTTCAATAAACATCTCATTAAAATTAGTTACAATCCATTTCTAATGTAAAATAATTACTAGTAGATTTCTATATTAAAATCATATCATGCATCAAGAGTATATATAAATGACAAATATTTAATTCTTACCTGTCTGTTTGGGGACAAAACTAAAAGTGATTTTTTCTTGGGTGCTTGCTTGCAAGCTACCTTTCTCGGGTTCTGCTTTGAAATGGGCATTTCGTTTGAACTGGTAGTTGACTGGAAGGATTGATGAGTGATTGGTTAGGAGGTACGTTGCATCAATTTTTTCACCGACATGACAGGTGCCAAAATTGATTTTATCATGATTGGGGCTAAGACTGATGAGCACTGGTAGAGCTGTTCCCGTGATAGCAACTTCAACATTTGGGCTGTCTGCAGTCAGTAAATGAGTAAATATTGTTTGGTTATAAAATGAAGAAAGATGTGCACTAACAAAGTTATATTATAGTTTGATTCTGTTAAGAGATGATTGTTTCATGTTTTCTGGTACATAAGTGTAGAGTGAGTGACCATGGTTAAATGTAAAATAAATAGATAAATGGCAGAAGTGTCCAACAAATTGACTGCTTGAATTAAGCAATAAGAAGAAAAAGAAAAGAACAGGGCAAAAATTAATATAAAGCAAGCAAACAATATATGCAAGTCAAATTAAGAGAAGGCAAAGCAACAATAATATCACAAAAAGTTCACAAAATAAAAATTGGGGTTGACACACAAGAGCAAGTGAATCTAGCATTCTGACTTCAAAGCAAGACAGACTGGGACTGAGTCATATGAAAACACAAACCAACCTATTTTATTGGCTAGGAAAAAATCCCAGTATGCATTTGTGTGTTTCTGCCTACAAATTGGGGAGGGGAAAGTATTTTGCAGTCCTTCCTAGTTGGATTGAAACCAAAAATAAGAATTATCATAATACATGGTTATTTTGCATGTTCTTGCATCTGAAAACAGCTGATAGTGAATTTGATACACCCAACCTCTCTCTCTATGTGCTATGTCCCTTTCATTATCTCTATTACACACAGAGCTAACGAGAGAAAACAAAATTATAATATTTTACATTAAAAAAAAAGTACTTTCTTTTCTTACCAAGAGTTCTATTATTAGATGAAACATTAAATCTGTGATGGAATGTACTCTGAAAACAACATAAAAATTCAGGATGTGGGGTTAATAAATTCTAACTACTTCAAATACTTTGGTGTATGGATAAGTTATAAAAAATTTAGTATAGGAGATATATAAAATGAAAATAGAATAGGCTGCACTAGTATTTTGATAAAATGATGAGACCTTGCCTCAGAGTATAGATTAATTATAACAATTTTAGTAAAGGAGATAAGGAAATTGAACACAGAATAGAAGCATTATTATTTTGTAGTGTAAAATGATAAGACTTTACCTTGATTTATGGATCAGTTATAAAACATTTAGTGTAGAAGATAAGAATAGTGAACATAAAATGGTCTACACTAGGAATAGTTTTACCCAACACTGCAAATTACTACAAAACCATAGCATTAACATAAAAACTCAACTCATGTTTTTAAACAAACTCATCAGATTGAGACTTTCATGTGGATGTCATGAATGGCACCAAACTTGTTCAGACATATCTAAAATGTCACCCTTTGTTAGATCAATGGTTAAAAGTAGCAAGTGAAGCAGGTAGGTTTTGGTGAGGACCATCGTTCTTTGAACCTTGTAAATTGGCACTACAGAATCAAAATGTACTGCATAGATAAGAGAAACGACATTACATGAAGACTTCCAACAGCAGCAGCAACTAAAATGAACAGCACATGTAACTTGAAGAGAAAATAACGATGCTGATATTCCATACCACTTTTAAAAAGGGTAAGTACCATCAATTCTGGAAAGAGCAATAACAGTTTCTGGACTTAAAAAAACAAAACCTATTTTGCTACAAACATATACAGTTGCAGTTAAAAGCAAATATAAATCATAGAATACTTGAAGTAAAGAATGAGTGAAAACCGCACAATAATTTATTCCAAGGAAAGAAAGACAAAAAAGGGTGGTTAAATCAAAACATTATGTGAGGAAGAAAGGCAGTTAAAGGAAAACATTATGTGAGGAAGAAAGGCAGTTAAAGGAAAACATTATGTGAGGAAGAAAGGCAGTTAAATCAAAACATTATGTGAGGAAGAAAGGCAGTTAAAGTAAAACGTTATGTGAGGAAGAAAGGCAGTTAAAGGAAAACATTATGTGAGGAAGAAAGGCAGTTAAAGGAAAATATTATGTGAGGAAGAAAGGCAGTTAAATCAAAACATTATGTGAGGAAGAACGGCAGTTAAATCAAAACATTATGTGAGGAAGAAAGGCAGTTAAAGGAAAACATTATGTGAGGAAGAAAGGCAGTTAAAGGAAAACATTATGTGAGGAAGAAAGGCAGTTAAATCAAAACATTATGTGAGGAAGAAAGGCAGTTAAAGGAAAACGTTATGTGAGGAAGAAAGACAGTTAAAGTAAAACGTTATGTGAGGCAGAAAGGCTGTTAAGGGAAAACATTATGGGAGGAAGAAAGGCAGTTAAAGGAAAACATTATGAAAGAAATTATTAAAGGAAAACATTATGTGAGGAAGAAAGGCAGTTAAAAAAAGGCAGTTAAAAAAACATTATGTGGAGGAAGAAAGGCAGTTAAAGGAAAAAAGGCATTAAAGGAAAACATTATGGAAGAAAGGCAGTTAAAGGAAAAACATTATGGGAGGAAAAGAAAATCAAAACATTATGGAGGAAAACATTAAAGAAAAAGGAAAGAAAGGCAGTTAAAGTAAAACGTTATGTGAGGAAGAAAGGCAGTTAAAGTAAAAACGTTATGGAGGAAGAAAGGCAGTTAAATCAAAACATTATAAGAGGAAGAAAGGCAGTTAAAGGGCAGTTAAAACGTTTTGAGGAAGAAAGGCAGTTAAAGTAAAAACGTTATGTGAGGAAGAAAGACACATTTAGGAAGAAAGGCAAAAAAAACGTTATGTGAGGAAGAAAGGCAGTTAAAAATAAAACGTTATGTGAGGAAGAAAGACAGTTAAAATAAAACGTAAAAAGAAAAGACGTTAAAATAAAACGTTATGTGAGGAAGAAAGACAGTTAAATCAAAACATTATGTGAGGAAGAAAGGCAGTTAAAGTAAAATGTTATGTGAGGAAGAAAGGCAGTTAAAGGAAAACGTTATGTGAGGAAGAAAGGCAGTTAAAATAAAACGTTATGTGAGGAAGAAAGGCAAAAATATTGGGTGAAAAAAAACGTTATGTGAGGAAGAAAGACAGTTAAAGGAAAACGTTATGTGAGGAAGAAAGGCAAACGTTAAAGGAAAAAGGCGTTAAAGGAAAACGTTATGTGAGGAAGAAAGGCAGTTAAAGTAAAACGTTATGTGAGGAAGAAAGACAGTTAAAGGAAAACGTTATGTGAGGAAGAAAGGCAGTTAAAGTAAAACGTTATGTGAGGAAGAAAGGCAGTTAAAGGAAAACGTTATGTGAGGAAGAAAGGCAGTTAAATCAAAACATTATGTGAGTAAGAAAGGCAGTTAAAGTAAAACGTTATGTGAGGAAGAAAGTCAGTTAAAGTAAAACGTTATGTGAG